TATATAATGCAAGCTACTACTACCTTGCCATTCAGTCATTCTACTCAGAAACCTGACCATTTCTTTCCCTTTCGTTGGCACGTCTCATATCCAACCATCTCCCGTCATTTTTCCCTGTCTCTCAAATCTCACCTTTCATACATCGTCATTGCTGAATAATGACGATGGCCTACTGACCAGGCCTACTGGAATAGTTGCCTAATCAGGCAGTCTTAAACTCTCCAATGCATCCTTCAAATGATCTTGTAAATAAAAAGTTGTATGATTGTGCTACTCATTTATTCATAATCCTTACTGGATTCACAAATGTCGTATAACATTCAGAAATGAAAGAAACTCCACACTGAATTTTTCAAGGGAATAAAAATAAAGTAAGATTGGTGTTATGTCCTATTTTTGCACAGACAGAGCCTATCATCTTAGAATAAATCAAAGACTGACTCTTTCCTTGAAGATCATGCAGGGTTTTTCAATACCTGGTATCCACCTTCTCCTGCAACCAGTGCTTAAGAACACTGTGTTAGGAGCACTAAATGACAAGTACTTACACCTTGCTATTTCTTGGCTTTCTCACTTGTTATTTTTTGGGTCTAGATGTGTCTCCAAAGCCTCATGCAGTGATGGGATGTGTAGGCTTTTCAGAGGGGGCTGAATCTAGAGTGTGCGGTGCTGGAATCAAGGGTGTGTGATTAGTAAATCAATCCACTGATTGCACAGGCACAGTTCTGGGTAAGATTAAAGATGTGAGTACTACACCTACTGCAGGGTGAGTAGCCTGCATAAACTATAAGGGATAGAAAGAGGCTTGTTCCTTTCACCCTTGTTGCTTCTGCTATCTTGTGGGTACCATGAACTGTTCTGTGATGCCCTCTGCCATGCCACCTTGCCTTGGAGCCAGCCAACTGTGGACCAAACACTCCACAAACTGTGGGCCAAAAGAATCTTTTCCTATTTAACTTTGGGTGGATCTTTTATCTCAGCAATGAGAAAGGTAACTAAGACATCTGTCTCACTGTATATTCTGCATATTTTCCTCAATTTCCACACATCAGACATTAACTGGTCTTTCAGGACTGACCCCAAGTAAGAGTCCTCTCATCTATGAAGCACTTCCTGAATGTAAGGAAGGACTAGCTACACTGACCTGTAACCCCTCTCTATATGGACTTCTTTACAAGGACACTGTTAATTATTTGCATATTTTCACCTTTTCTTCTACTACCTTTACTCACTGTGGACAGGGTCTCACTGTGTTTTACATTCCTAGCACTGAACACATACTGACAACATAGGAGGCACTCAAAAAAAAAAAAAAATCTTCTAAATGAATAAGCAAATAAAAAAACTAGAATGTTCTCATAATTCACATCTGGTTAATTCCTTTAAGATTCAGGTTTTTACAGCTTGCATAGGGAATCCATTCTGAGCTCCACGCCCTCACGTTGGCTGAATTCTTCCTCGGCACAATCTTGGCAGTGTGTATTGTACTACTCACATTTTACTGTAACTTCCATCCATCTTCCAGCTCACCCACAGTCATCTCCTTTGAGAGCAGATGTCTATTCACTCTGAATCTCCAGTAGCTAACTTAGTATTAATGCCACCATACACAGTAGACCTTCAATGTAGTCTTCTAAGTAAATGAAGAGCTATTTTGGGTAGTAGGTCTAGGGTCCCCACAATTCAAAATACCACCTTACATTTTTTGGAGTCTCCAAAATACCTGCTCAAAGTTGATTTTTGCATCTTTTTGTTATTCAACCAAACCTGAAAGCCTCAGGAATAGAGAGAGGCTATTGCTGTGTAACAAATTACCTTCAAATTTAGCAGATAAGGTGACAAACCTTTCTTATCTCACGTGACTCTAAGAGTGATGTATCCCTCATTGCTGGCCTGGCTGGGTATTTCCCAGGACTCCTGGCTGTTGAGGCAGAGGTAAGGAGCAGAGAATGTAAATAGGACATAGCCCTGAAAACAGTCAGGGCTGGGGTGGCAAAGTGGAAATGGTTGAAAAGATCCTTGTGCTGTAGGGGTGAGGCCGCCACCCACAGCCCATGTCTCAGATCAAAAAGAGAATCAGTGACGCATTCAGAGGACCTCTGCCTCAACAACCAGGAGTCCTGGGAAATACCCAGCCAGGCCAGCAATGAGGGATACATCACTCTTAGAGTCACGTGAGATAAGGAAGGTTTGTCACCTTATCTGCTAAATTTGAAGGTAATTTGTTACACAGCAATAGACAACCAATAACTAACATCCCTAAAAAGTTTCTTATCAAAGATACAAGAATTAGGATTCAAGGGCTGAGGATTTAGCTCAGCGGCATAAGCTTCTGCCTTGCAAGCAGGCAGTCTTGAGTTCGATCCCTGGTACCAATAAAAATGAAAAAGACAAAAAAAAAAAAAGAATTAGGATTCAAATCCATTTGTGAAATTCTGCAAACCCAAATTTTAGCCACTCTGCCATACTGTCTTTTTTTTTTTCTTTAATGCAAGATCTCAATTGGTAGTGCAAGCTGCCCTTAAACTCACTATGGAGCCCAGGCTGACCTAGAACTGTGGAGATCTCCCTACATCAATCTCCCAGGTGCTGGGATTACAGGTATGTACCACCACACCTTGCTGCTACATTGTTTTATTTGTTCAATCTTATGTTAAGCTATGTTACTTATTACTTATTTTCACCAATTAAATTAAATATAATGTACCTACTATTAAAAATGCACTCCTCTTGAGGATGAGGAGATCTAGACATGGTGGGAGAAGTTAGGAGAGTAAAAGAGGAAATAAGGACTAAGATACTGTACGTATATGTAATGACTCCCCACAATGTATGTATTCACTGTTTACTGCAAATATGCATGGTACTAACAACAACAACAAAAAGATTTAAAAGAGAAAAATGTAAAATCCAAAATTAGACTGTACAACCAGACATGGTGGCTCATACCTATAATCCCAGCACTCAGGAGGCTGAGGCGAGAGGATTGCTGCCAAGTTCGAGACCAGCCTGGGCTACAAAGTGAGCTCAGAGCCAGCCTAAACTGCACAGCAAGACTCTGCCTCAAAAAGATTCCCCTAAAAAACCAAAAAACAAAAAATTTCACTGTACTATAAGTAATATGCTAGGTGCTACAGGATATAAGAAAGGATTGGATAGGCTACATCCAGATTTTATTCTGTAATAATTTAATAAGTATACACCTAGCTCTTCCCACATATCAAGTGAGCTGTGAGAGCCACCTAGTGTAAATTCTGTTTAACTGCAATGTACACAGTTAGCTGGATATAAATCACGATTTATGCCATTAATATCTATTAATTTGAATTTGAAATATTTAATACTCTTTCCATATGCATAAAACAAGAAGTAATTTATTCCCATGGAAACTAAGCCTTGAATCTCTCTAGATTCTGAATGATATAAAGTATTCACTCAATCTAAAAACCTTTTAAATCCTCCAGTGTTTTCTAACCCCAGGTAATTCCTTTGCTAATTTCTAGCAAAACAACGCATATCCCTGGAAGCTTCTTTTCACTCAAGAGAATGCAGCAACACAGAAAAACTAGTAATAAGAACATAGTCAAAATGCCAGGCATGGTGGTATATGCCTATAATCCCAGCACTCCGGAGATTAAGGCAAGAGGTTGGCGGTGAACTTAAGGCCAGCCTGATTACACAGCACGTTCAGGGCCAGGGCCAGCATGAATTAAAAAGCAAGACTCTATCTAAAATATATATATATCCATATATATGCCATTAATATCTACTATATATATATGCCTGATTAATTTGCAAAATGTTTGCAGGTACAAATTTATCTACTCACTAAAATGTATTTGTAGGCCCAAGACTAACATGCACAGAACCTTTGTGGCCATGTGTAGACGTGAACGTGGCAGAAAAGAACTGGAACTGCCTGCCGTGCACTTCTCCAGCTGTGACAGATGCTCTGCTTTCTTATTGCAGTTCTCACACCATAAACAAGGAACCTGCACAGATTATCAAAGGCCAGATTTCTGTGGAGGTTCGTGTGTGTGTGTGTGTTAAAAGCACTGAGTACCCTGTACCACTCCTAAGTATAAGAAGGAAAAGACAGGTGTGTTAGAGAAACTGTATTTAGTCATGGGTTATAGCGCTGATGACTGCACGTTCAAAAGTGAATCAACAATCAACACTTTATCAAATAAGACATCTTTAAACAGAAACATAAATGAAAACAGGTCATTTACTGACAAACTAATGACAGTGCTATGCCAGAAACTGGAAGAACCAAACTCACTAGCTCTCTTAGGAGCAATGGTTCAGTATTTGCTAATATGTTGGTGATAACTTTACCAACTGTACCTAACACAAACAGTAAGAATTAAGTATATATATTAGGGACACGTGTTTTATTATCACTTTGTCCAAAGTGTTACAGAAGAAAGTTAAGTTCTACAACCATCCTGAGTGCACTGAACATAGCAATCTGAAAACCACACAATATAAAGTGTTTTTCTACAGTATTATCTAAGTGAACCTTGTTCTTAACAAAATATTAGCTCAGTTTTGAGGGGCTAATTATATTTTCTACTATATACTAAGATAAATGCTTCTATATACTATGTACATGCCTGCAGTCTCAGCACTTGGGAGGCTGAGACAGGAGGATTATCAAATCAAGACCAGCCTGAGACTCTGTCTCAAAAAACAAAAAAGCATCTGCATTAAAATTTTTCAATGTATGTACATATATTACCAAAATTATCTCATGTATCACAACAAGGCAAGTAGCCTCACAGATGCATGAATCACACTTGGGAAAATACAGTTATGTGACCATTGAAAAATGCATTACTATATAACAAAGAAATTTTTCACAATTCCATCTAAAAATAGTTACACTTTTCTCAAGTCAGATCAGGAACCCTACACAGATTATAATACAAAATACATAGCTGTCAGCACGGGAAGAGTTCCAAGACAGGGTGATGGGATACAAAGAGGCTGGTACATACCTGAAACAGCATCAAACTGCTGCAACAATGGTTTATGAGTGCACTGCTGACTCACAGACTCTGCACTGGTGATGCGCTGCTGCATACAGAGAGCCTGTCCCAGAAATACATGCTTTGCTGCTGCTGTCAGCCTGGGCCTCTGTCCTTCACTAAGTTCACCAACACTATTTTCCAAGTCCTTCAAAAAGTTGAAACAATGATTAAAACCATTATATTAAAATCAAGTCAAGTCAGTGTAATGCTTGGGATGCTGAGGCAGGAGGACTGCAAGTTGAAGGCCAGTTTGGACAACTAAGCAACACTTTGTCTCAAAAATGTGAAAAGGTGCTAGGGATTTAACTCAGTGGCGTAAGCACCTGTGTGGCAAGCGTGAGGTCATGAGTTCAATCCCCGGTACAAAAAAAAAAAAAATTTGAAAAGGGAGCCAGATATGGTGGTACATATCTGTAATCCCTGAACTTGGGAGACTGATGCAGAAGGATCATCATGAGCTTGAGCTACATAGTGAGTTCAAAGCCAGCCTGCACTCATAGTGAGAACCTGTCTAAAAAACTGGAAAAACAAAACAAAATTTTTTTAAAGGGAAAGTGGGTTGGTATGTAGCTCAATGGGAGAGTGACTGCCTACTATGTGCAGGCTCTGGGGTTCAAATGCCAGTACCACAGGAAAAAAAGAAAAAAAGAATCAAATCAAAACAGGACATACTTATTTAATATCATGGTCCAAACTGCTCCACTGCAGTTGCTTAGAGCAGTAAAATTAGTTGAAAAATATTTTAGAAAGCGCTATATGCCACATATACCATCATAAAAGGTAAGTTTAAAAAACTAGTTAGTAAGGCATCTAGTGCTAGGCTTTATTTTTAATATTGTATTTTTATGATGTTAATATAACCTCCAACTAATCAACAATATATAAGAAAAATTCCAGGGGATGGGGATACAGCTCAGTGGCATAGTGCCAGCCTGGCAAGCAAAAGGTCCGGAATTCAATTTCTGAGACAAAAAAAAAAGAGAAAAATTCTAAAAAAGGAAAATATTTAAATTTAAAGTAACTTAAAATGCTGGTATGCATTACATATTGTTCATATAGCTTAAAATCAGAAAAACAGAAAATAGATTTTTCATGAATTCAAATTGCCTAAAGTTATCAGTGTGAGTTTTATAACCAATGAGAATATACTTCAAATAGTATAAAAATTACCCCATGTGAATAATTATTTTTTTCTAAGTACACAGATTGAAGACTATTTTAGTCATATTTCATAGTTCTTTTTCATAAAAAAGTACAAAGTACAAAAATGTTTATCATATATATTAAACTAAAAACTAAAAAAAATTAAGAGCTATTTTCTTAATATATTAAAAATTGTAAAAAAAATTGTATGCCATAATCATTAGTATACTTTGTGATTTGGAAATATTATAATTAATGTTTCCTAATCAAGAACTGAATTAAAATTCTGATATCTGAAAGGTCCTTGTGTACTATTCCCCTCTTTTTCTCCAGTGCTAGAGACTGAAGCAGAGCCTTACGCTACATGAGCACTCTACCACCAAACTAATCCCCAGGCCCTATGCTTCTCATTTAAAGGGAGGTTTGGTTTCAACCAATATGAGTTTATCAAATATAAAACAGAATCAAAACATCTTGGTTCAACATTCAAAATTTTCCCTAATTCTCATCTATGCATCTCTATTTTACCCTGGCTCCCCCAACCCACCTCTTCTTTTAGAATACCAACCCCTTCAACATGCTTTAAGCTGACAATTTAATACCTTCCTTGCAGACTCTAGGGAGTATAGAATGATGGCAAATGTGTTTCCACCAGATATGAGAAATATTTTAGTGCCTATAATACTGCTTAAAGGTAGGGGCTGTGTCTCATTCATATTTGTGTATTTTTGAAGACTGTGTGTATCATATAATAGATACTCAATAATAAAAGGTTGTGGATGAATGAATGAATGAATAAAGACCCTCACAAATTATTTGAATGTTTCAGTGTCTTCAACTGTAGAACAAGATGTCTGGAATGGACGGTCTAATTTATTTTTAATTATACAACTCAATAGGGTAGGAAAGGGAGGGAAAGGAGTTGAAAAAAGAAATTAAGATATATTAGGTACATATACCAATTCCCAAAAAGGAATCTAAATGTTGTACACTACAAATATGTACTAATAAAAACAAATGAATAAATGGACACTTGGTCCAAAAAAAGAAGAAAGAAAACTATAGCTCTACGATTCCAGGATAAAACTGTTTGCTGTAACATTGACTTTTGAATAATTGAAGTATCACCATGCCTTAATTAAAAGTAGGATATTGTGCCAGGCATGGTGGCATATGGCTGGCTATAAACTCAGCACTTGGGAAGACGAGCAGGAGGATTACTGCAAGTTTGAGGCCAGCCTGGGCTACAAAGTGAATTCAAGGCCAGCCTGAACTGTATAGTGAAACCCCATCTCAAAGCACCAAAACAACAACAAAAATAGGATATTGGATATACAAAGAATTAAAATATGTCACATACATGTACCATTTACCCACAACGAATGTAAAAATAAAATTTTTAAAAATTTAAGAGTAAGACTTTTTGTCCTCTTATTACACACACACACACACACACACACACATATATACACAGATATATATATATATATATATATATATATATAATTATTAAGGTTAAAAAGTACCTCTGAATGATAGACTGCTTGCTGTGAACCTTGTAATTCCTGGTTCTGTTTAGCAAGAAGAGGAAGAATTTCATTTGTATGAAAATTTTTATGGGGTATCCTAATCACCTGTCCTTCACTTGGAGAATCATCTTCCTAAAAGAATCATAAAGATAATTAATGCACAAAAATGTTTATTAAATGATACTTTTCTCAATTATGATTAATAAAAATCTAGTATAAAAACCTAGTAGTAAGTGATATTATCAGTAGTTTATGGAAGGAAGAGGAACATGTGTGAGTTGTGTGTGTGTGATACTAGAGACTGAAACCAACGCTCTTGCACTAAGCTACAACCCCTGCCCTTTTTTATTTATTTATTTATTTTGAGACATAATGTTTAAAAACTAGAAACAATAATTCTGGCATTGCTTAGAGTTCAAGACACTAAATGGCCCAGGCTGAGCTTCACTTTACAATCCTCCTGCATCACCCTCCCAGAAGGCTGGGATTATAGGCACACGCCATATAACCAGTTAAAAGTGAAGTCTCCATTTTCGATTAGTTCTTACAAACATTTGACTATAATAAAAACTTTAAATTTGCTCATATATAAACAACACTTGCGAGTAACTTGGTAAAATTAAAACTGGAGATTCAAGCTGGGAATGGAAGTGAACGCCTGTAATTCTAGCACTGCAATTCACGACAGCTTGGAATACAAGGGTGAGCTCAAGGCCAGCCTGAACTGCATACTGCAACCTTGTATCAAAACAAAAAACAAAACAAACACAACCTGGAGCTTCACTGCTTTTGTCTCATGCAACTGAGTGACTCATAAGTGTTTTATACATGGCATTGGTTTGGGCTCACATGGTCTCCTGTTTCATGTTTAAGCAGTGCACAAGGTAATACGTCAGCATGTCAATGACGTGAATCCATAAATAACAGTGCCTGGGTCATAAGTAAAACTGAAAACTACAGAAGTAAATAACAGCAAGCACAGCCCTCCATGTCCCTTTGCCTTTGCTAACACCTGCCTTGGCTGGGAGCAGGGGAGAGCCTTTCCCGGCACAGCTTCGTTGTGCCTCCAAAGAGAACTATCCCAAACAACAGGGACCATGTGGCCTTCACAGTCAGAGATTGAATTCCCTTGTGAAAGCAAGTATGAGTGTGACCTTAAATTCATTAACAGTATTTACTTTGTTTTTAATAAAGTTACTAGCTAGATTACATATCTCTGGCTATATTCATAAATAAATAATGGTACATTTCTTCAAATTATTCTGGATTTTTTTCTGGATTATACCTTTCTATTTGTTTCTATTATAAACTGTAGCATATCTGAAATAAGACAATAAAAAATCAAAATTATAAAGCTTCACATCTAAACAAGGAAATGTTATAGCTTAGTCCTTATTCAGTTTAGCTATTTCAAGAAATTTAAATATGTACTACCACCACATGAAGTTCTAAGAATAGATAAAAAATACTATAATAGCACACTAAGCCAAGTGTTGATATAATGCTCCAGCTCCACTGAAAAGAAAAACATCACATTTCTACTTTCCCCCATATTATTTCACACAAATGAATGCACTCTCTTCATAATGAACTCAATAAATTATTACTGTTTTTGGCCATTTGGGGGCCACAGGAAGAACAACAGGCCAGGCCCTTCCTATGAGTTAGCTGCTAGTCACAGGTCATAGGGAGAATCAGACACCAACCCCTTCCTGTGAGTCAGCACCATTCATAGGCCATGGAGAGAAAAAGAAGTAAGCCCCTTCCAGTGAGTGGGTGACAATCACAGGCTGTGGGAAGGAGTACCAGATGCCAGCCCCTTCTGGCACATGGGCAGGGAGACAAGAAATATCAAGGTCATCCCACCTCTACCCTGTAAGCAATCAGCTGACCCAGAGCAACACAGGCTGAGATGATATCTACTGAAGTAAAATACAAGTTAATGCTTGTAGTGTTTACTGTTTCGTTGATTTTGCAGGCCTAAAGCTGGTAGTCTGAGCACCTACTTAGAGAATAACAATATGCAATATAGCATATGGGGGATCTTCTGAAAGTGGCAGCCATTGTTAATTCCCTATTGTCTTGTTTTAAATCCTGCACCATTTTTGTTGTTTTGTTTGGTTTGGTTCTATTCTATATCTGATGGGACAGGTATCTATTTCAAAGGTAGTCATTTTGGATTTACTATCTTGAAGTCCTGTATTGCATTCATTGTTTTGTTTTTATTGGTTCTATACTTTTCTGTCTTGTTTGAGTTTTACTACCTCTGAAGGTAGGAGAAGGTATTTTTTATTTTTTGAAGAGAATAAAACCAAATGAGACAAAAAAAAAAAAAAAACAGAGTCAATCAAAACAAAAGGATGAACACAGTACATGACTTAAGAACAAAATACAAGGAGATCAACGATGGCTACCATAATGCCTCGTTATCTTCAAAAGAATTGCCCCTCATCAGGCATAATAAAATTGAACAAAACACTACAGAACAAAACTAATAAAAACAAAACATTGGAGACATTATAGGATTTCAAAAGAAGATAATAGTCAAACCAGAATGGGTATCGGAGCATATCTTATTATCTTCAAAGTAGTTGCCTATACCATCAGACTTGATACTATCAAACAAAACAGAATAGAATAAAATCAGTCAAAACAACAGTCAAAGCAATACAGGGCTTCAAATCAAGTTAATAGGAAATCAAAAATGGTTACCATAATATATTCTGCTATATTTGGAATAGTTTTCCATGCCATAACATCTAACACAAATACATAAACTGAAACAGAATAAAACCAAACAGGATGAAAACAGAATGGTTTTCAAATCATGATAATAAATTAACAATGGCCCCTGCCTTTCCTTTTTAGACAATTTCTCCTCTTTCACTTTCACAGGATATATTGTACATTTTAGATCCCACTAACTCTTTTAGTTTTTATATTAAGGAGGCAACCCACTGTTCACCTAAGTGATTCTGAAGCTTTTCACCGCTGAGCATGATCTGAAGTTATATCCATTTACCTACAAGAGGCTCAAAGTTTTCTTTCTTTATAGCTGAATAATTTTCCATTGTATAAAAGGGTCATGGCTTTCTAACCAATCTGCAGCTGATCAGCAGATACCCCCATTTTTTTCTGGTTCCCTGTCACATACAGCATTGTTTTCTAATCTTTGACTTTCCATCTATAAACCCCCTTTTGGGTTAAATGTATTTCTTATATAAAGCATATTGATGATCCACTCTGCCTGTGTTTTATTGGTGAATCGATATTAGTTATTATGGCCAACCTTCTCTGCCTCATCTCTGCCATGCTATTTTTCTGCCATTGGTTCTCTACTTTCCCCCTTCATTCCAATGTCTGCCCATTCTCTGCCTCCTCTGTCGCTGTTCTTGAAATCATGGTCTTTTTTCTCTCTCTAGAATGTCCTTCAGTATGTTTTGTAGGGTTGGTTTGGTGGTCATGAACTCCCCAAATCCCTCTTTGTTGTGGAAGCATCTTGTTTCTCCATTAATTTTGAGATATAATTTTGCAGGGTACATTTGGGTTGGAGGTTATTTTCTTTCAGGACTTAGAATACTTCACTCCAAGTTCTTCTTGATTTGATAGTTTGTGTCAAGTTATTTCTGGTGATTTTAATGGGTTTTCTTTTATAGGTGATCTGTTTCTTTCCTCTGACAGCTTCTAATATTTTGTTCTTGTGTTGAATTTCTGAAATCTTATTATATGTCTGAGTGTAGATCTATTTTGGTTATAGCTGGCTGGAGTTCTGTATGCCTCACTTATCTGAGTATCACTTCCTTTTCCTATGCTTGGGAAGTTTTCTTTTTAACTATTTCTGTAAATAGCTTTTGTATTTTTTGTTGACCCGATTCTTCATTCACATTTTTTATTCTTAAGTTATAGATCCTCTTGTCGTCTTGCAGCCTTTGTATTGTTACTTCTTGGTTCCTTGTTATTTTAAAGAGATCTTTCCTTTCACAATCGCCAGCTGCAAACCTGTCTCCAAGGTTTGATAGTCTATCTTTGGTTTCTTTCAAGTGGTTTTGCCAGCTTTCAATAGAGTGTTTTTTTAATTTCCCAGTAATGTATTTCAATCTGTTTCATATATCCTAAATTTTTTCTGTATTCTTCATTGAAGGTTTCCCTCATTATTCTATGCTCCTCTATTCTTCTATCTGTGTCTTCTTTAGAGGTGCTTAGCAATTCTTTTATTATGTTTCTCATTTCTTGTTTTACTTGGAGAAGTATTTCTCTTCTAAGTTCTTTAATAGCCTCTTGTTTATTTCAGTTGCTGTTGCTTCAGAAACTGCAGGTGTGCATCTCCCATCTCTTCTGTGTTTACATCTCCTGGCCCAGTACTGCTTGGGATGGAGGCCAGAGACTGCCTTTAGCCTCTTTCTTTCACACTACTGGTTCCTTCTGGCATTTCCCATGTTGGCTACAATTTCTCTGAAGCAAGATGTTTGCTTTTTCTAGCCCATGCTGGCTAGGGCTATCTGATGGTGACCTTCTTCTGTTTAATTTTTTCTTTTTTTAATTCTCTCTGTGGGCTTCAATTCTCACTTTAGTTTCTTCCTGGGTTGAGGGGACCTGCTTCCTTCCTTCTTGCCTTCTCCAGAATGCTATATTCCAGCATCTGAACTGTTTGTCTCAGAGAGGCTGTTTACTCTGCTGCTTACTGTTCTGCCATCTTCCTAGAGGTCTCCAATCTGGGCAGCTATTTGAAGACAAAGGCATTATGGTAGCCATTGTTGATATCCTATTATCTTGTTTTGAAATCCTGTATTATTTACATTGTTTTGTTTTGACTGGCTTTCTTCTGTTTTATTCTGCTTGGTTTTATTCCCCTTAAAATAAAAAAAAATTACTATTTTTTAAAAAATTGATTCTGCAGTCAAGGTATGGTGGTGCACACTTGTTAACTCCAGTGCTCTGTAAGGCTGAGGGGCAAGTGGGGGGATTGCAAGTCAAGCAAACCTGGTAAGTGATGTAACAAGACCTGGCTCAAAATAAAAAAGAGCTGGAGAACAGCTCAATGCAAAGGCTCTGTGCTTAATACCTAGAGCTGCAAAGAGAAAAGAAAAAAAAAGAGAAAGAATCCTTCTCAAATAATATCTTAACTAAAAACTTCATGAAATATCTTCTTAACCCTTTGTGAAATAACATTTTTAAAAACAGCAATGATAACTAAGCACTTGTTGACAATAATTAAACATAACTGCCTTTCTTCACTTAGGCTTTTGAGAGCACATAAAAAGTAAAGATTTGTATTTCCACCAGGTGTAGTGGCACATGCCTGTAATCCCAGCACTTGGGAAGCTGAGGCAGGAGGCTTGCTGTGTGTTCGAGACCAGCTTGAGCTACAACATGAGCTCAAAGCCAGTCTGAACTCCATAGTGAGTCAAAAAAAAAAAAAAATCTATTTCCCTATCTTTCAAAATATAACCCTAGTGTTATTTCTATAGGATATTTACATTATATATGCCTATATAAAAATATGACATTTTAAAATGTCTTTTTCTTCTATGGTGTTAGATAATAACTAGGAAAAAGAATTAGCATCTCTGTATCCTATTTGAATTTTTCTTTTTAAAGCTATTAAATTTACATGTCTATTAGCACAAAGAATTATAATCATAGTTAGAAAAAAACCAAAGAAATTATAAAAGTTAAAACTGCTAAGATTCTGTACCAAATAGTACAGAAACAGGACTGGGGATGTGATCTCATATGTGCAAGACCTCAGTTCAATCTGAAAACAGAAAAAAAACGCAAAAATTAACAAAAATGAAAATAACTAAGTACAACTTATAAAGACAGCCTACCAAGGCAGCAATTTACACTTAGATGAAGTTCAAATAATTACATTAAGTATTTTTAATAACTAGATTTTAAGAGATTAATAACAATTTCATTTTCACTACCATGATGAGACTACATAAGAAAACGTGCAAAAAACTCTAAATTTTTAATTATTTATTTATTTTTGGTACCAGGAATTTAACTCATGACCTCACACTTGCCTGGCAGACACTTATGCCACTGAGCTAAATCCCCAGCCCAAAAAACTATAAATTCTTTCATTAATATTTCAGTAAATTTTTTGCCTATAACTCAGATAAGTAAGAAAGAACATGGACAGTAGCTATAAATTCATGAAGACACCCTTCCTGTGAGAATTCAATGCTGGAATCAATCATTCCTTACCATTTCAAGGGCATCATGCAGAGTGCTGGAGAAGCTATCATTTAGGTTTGTCAGATAAAGCTCTCCACCTTCTAAAACTAGAAATGAAAAAGTAAAAATTTAGATAAAAATAAAAGCAAACCTAGTAAGCAACCTGACCAGAAAGCCACATTTAATATTCTGCAATAGAAATATAGGCATAGTTCATACACAATTTACAAACTACCCATTCTTATGTTTTTTTTAAATTCAGTTTAAAACAGATAAGATTTTTCTTTCATCTAGTAATCTATCAAAAAAAATGTTTTTTGAGACAAGATCTCACTATTGTAATTCAGGCTGACCTTGGACTATGTAGCCCAGGCTAGCCTCAAATTTATGGCAATCCTCCTGCCTCAGTCTCCCATGTTCTGGGATTATAAAACATGCGCCACCATGTGTGGCACTGTCAGAAACACCTAAAAACTATACAAATAGCAATGCAGCTATTCAATTGAGAAGTTGGCATTCTTATATATTGTTAATGTAATTAAAACTGATTGAAAGCTGATTAGTATTTCTAAAAGCATGTTGGCAGAGTAATGGTATTTTACAGGAGCGTAGTCTGACTCAGCAATCTCACATGTAGGCAGGTATTCTACAGATGAGTCAGGCAAGTGCCCAAAGATACACACATGTGCAAGAATGGTCACTGATGTTGTGTGTAGTCTGGAAACCCTAAAAACTATCTAAATGCTTCCTTCCAGTAAGGCACTGCTTATAGAGATTATACAGCCACTTTTAAAATGACAATAGACCACATGTGGTGATAAGCTTCCTAACAGTATGGGCAGTAAGGTCCTGTTTTTAAAGCTGAACATGCCTCCTTGTATTTAGATATCCAAACACACACACTTTAAGAAGACAGAAGAGTGCACCTCAAACTATGAATAATATCAACCCTTAAGGGTAGGGCTACGAGGTGCAATCTCCTTCCTAAACTAAGCCCAGCAAAGCTAACTAGTGTGCACAGAGTCCCTATTTTTTTTACTATACCATATTAGACCTTGGAAAGTAAGTGAAAACACTTTAAATAGGAAAATATCACCATGGGAATGATCATAATCTGAAACCAAGTCACACTGGGTAACTCACTCCCGGGAGCCAATCTTTGACCACAGCTGAATACAATCTCCCCTTCCGAGATGGGCCTGTCCAGAGTCTCCATGCCAGTAATGGTAAGGCTCAGAGTGCTTTCCAGGGTGGATGAGCTGGAGCTCAGCACCTGCAAGGAGGCAGGGACCTCGGCACACACAGGTAACTGCGTGAGGGGAGGTGGTTCTGCAGGAGTAAGTGGAGCCGGCGAGTCCATACTCCTAGGTTCTTCATCCTTAGCCACAGACATGACGCTGAGGAGAACAAGAAGCTAATTTGAATTTACTAGTTTACTGAAGGACTCTACGTTTAGATAAAAAACAGACCCAAAGGTACTATATCTCCTTTAGCAAAATATTTCTTTGATCTACGTTATTGTAATTACCAAGATTCACTTTTCTAGAATTTTTTTTGCATTAACCACAAACCACCTTGAAAGCTCTTCTAGTCAAAAACTAAATCTACATAGGATATACAGTAATTTAAAAGTTAACTGAGCATAGTAAATGATGATCCACCTAGGAAAAATCATCTTCTATTTTATTAACAATCTGATAAATGCCTTTGTTATATATTTCAATCCTTTTTAAAAAGGGGAAGATATAAATAAATTTGATTAAATATTTTTAAATCTTAAAATTTATAAAACTTCTTTCTAAAGTATAGTTACAGCTTACAAAACATTGTTTGTCATTTCTTTTTGTTTTGTCTTTGTCTTTTTGAGACAGGATGTATGTAGTCCAGGTTGGCCTTGAACTCCTTTATAGCAACAATCCTGCTGCCTTAGCTTCCCAAGTGCTGGGATTACAGATGTAGCCACCACACCCAACTTTGTTTGTCATTTCTACTTTAATGCGTCACACAAATTGGAATGTACAGTTACTAAAAGTTAATGCAGCTGGCCCTCCATATTCATAGGTTCCATGTCCAGAATTCAGCCAACTAGAGATAGAAAATATTTGGAGGAAAAAAATCCTGTCATTATCAATACAATACAACCACTCTTTACAGAGCATTTATATTAAATTAGGTATTGGAAGTAATTGAGAAGTGACCTAAAATATATGGGAGGATTACGCAGATTACACATAAACATTATATCCCTGTATCCGCACTTCAGTAAGTGTGGATTTTGGTGGTGGTAGAGGTGGGAGGAATCCCAGATCTAAAGCCCCCAGATGCAGAGGACAACTGTGTTTTCACTTACAGTGCTCCTGGGTGAAGAAGTTCTTCTTGAAAAGAGTTAGGGTTCTCTTCATCCAGTGGTAGGTCTCTATCCCCCCATGGCTTGGGAAGCTCTGGGCTTGATATCTTCAATTTATCAATGGAAGTCTCTGACAAAGTTGGGGTAAGAGCTGCTGCTAGAGGAGGCGTAGCAGTTGGAGTAACTGAAGGAGTATTAACAAGTGTGACGGCAGGTATATCCTGTCCTACAGATCTCTCTTTTTTAAAAGAAAGAAAGAAAAAGACAAAAGTCAGTAACCAACTCTACAGAAAGGCAAAATATAGTGCTTCAGAAACTACTTGATATTTTGACATAAAGTAGTGGCAATAATAGTAATAATCATGATGATGACAGTGATGGCCATTAATGAGAGAATTCTTAATTCAGTAAAGTATAAAAAAATAACCTTGAAAAGTCAGGACTATTGGCACTACCACATATGTAAAGTGACTTACACATCCATTAAATTATATACTTTAAGAAGGGGCATTGGTTTGACTATGTCCTCTAAAAGTTCACACACTGCACACTTAGTACCCCCCAATATGGTGACACTATTTGGAGGAAGACCCTTGCAAGCTAATGGGGATCAGATGAAGACATGAGTCTAAGGCCCCAGGAAAGAATCAGCGGCTCTATAAGATCCTCCAGCTTGTCTTCCTGTCACTGATGACAGACCAAGACTTTCCCCAGATGCAGGCTCTCAATCCTGGACTTCCAGACTCTAGAGCTATAATATACAAATTCTTTTCTATATATAAATTACCCACTCAGTGGTATTTTGTTATAGCAGTACAAAATAGACAGTGGAAACAAATTTCTTACTTTCCTTGCAAGAAAAATGATTTCTTTGAACCAGCGATGGCAAACCTTTAGAGTTCCCAGTGATAAAAAACAGATGTGGCACACATATTGTAAGTTTGCTACTACTAACTTATACCTAGTAAGCAACAAGTATGTAGAATATATAAAGCATCCTCCTGGCATAGTGAAGTAATCCCAGCATTCTGGAGGCTGAGGCAAGAGGATTGCAAGTAGAGAGTTCCAGACCTGCCAGGAATCTACAAAGTGAGTTCAAGATCAGCCTGAACTGCATAGCGAGACCCAGTCTCAAAAAACCAAAGCAAACAAACAAACAAACACACCCTATATATATATATATATATATATATATATATATATAGAGAGAGAGAGAGAGAGAGAGAGAGAGAACATCTTACAAAACAAATCATGAAATTTTATTTAATAAATAAGGTCTCTACCTTTTTCAGCAGAGATTTCTTTCACTGGAAAAGTGACATCATGATATGAACCACAGGGAGAAGAATCAGGAGTCTTTAGTAACACACACTCCTTAGGAGGTGATGAAGGTGAGCAAGGAGGAGTAGGCCGTGGGGTAGCCACTGGAGTACATATTCTTGTCTAAAACAAGTTAGCAAAACAAGACAAGTGGTATTTATGATCACTCAAGTAAAGATAATTTGAAACAAACATGAGCTCATTCACATGCTATATAGAAATTAACAGCATGGGCAAAATAACAACAAAAAAGGAGTCTTAAGGACCCTGGTTCTAAAGTATCCAGCTGCTGGGATAAGACTGGCAGGAAGCACTGGGCCTCAGAAGGCCCCAAAGAGTAAGGCATACTTGTCCAATGCAGATTCAGCAGACACAGCTGAAAGGGCAGAGCCAGCCACAAACCTGGCTGGATCAGCCAGCCATGTAACAGAAAGAAGCCGCTTCAACTGTCATCAAAAACTAGCCCTTGAGCACTAAGCAGCAGCTTATAGAGAGCAAGAGAAGGATGAAAAAGTCAGGGTGGGGAACACCACAATGGGACAGAAAATTCTAGGACAGGAAAATGGGAACATTTTAATGGTAATTGGTTGAATTGGTAACCATGGGATGGTTCAAAATTTACAAGGTAAAAAATGATAATAGTAAAAATTAAGTCCTCTGCTTTGTTTTTTCTACCTACTTAGTTACCAAATTCTTTTAAGTCATTGCACCTGCATATATATTTATCAATGGAATAAATTCCTGTGAAAATTCTTATTATCAGTATTAAAAGTTGTCATTCTCGGGCCAGGGATTTAGCTCAGCGGCATAAGTGCCTGCCTGGCAAGCCTGAGATTGTGAGTTTGATCCCTGGTACCACACACACACACAAAAAAGTAGTCATTCTCACTAATAATAAAAATTTTCACTAAAGTTCTATTTTATTTTCTATATATTCTATATATAAATATAAATATGTATATATGAACAATTTGTATTTTGTGTATGTGTGTCCTTTGTCGATTTATAGAATACATCATTGGACTTTTTCTTCTCATTCTAAAAAATCTTTAGGATGATTAGCCTTTTTCTGTATTATGAGTTGCAAATTAATATATAATTTAAGACACGAAACATTAAAATTCTTTAACATTGCCTGATATTTAGAAAATTTTTCATTTTAAAATTAAATACAATACATTTTTTTCCCCATTTATAAACATTTGACTATTCATCATAAGACAATCTGAAGCTATTCCAGTATTGGGAATAGGTGATGATGATAAGCTGTAAGTTTCAGAGTATTCTCTGAATTCCAGACACTAGATTAAGCTTTTACATCTCTCATCAATCTTTCACAAAACTTCACGTGATCACCTCAAGAAGACGCAATATTATAAAGATATCAATTGTTTCCAAACTAAGCCAACCAAAATTAGATCAGCTTCCATTAAATATAATTACAAAATGATGTTTAATGGAATTTAAAATCAATTTTCAAAGATTTGGGAATGGTGGCACATGTCTTAATCTCAGCTACTTAAGAGGCTGACACCGGGCATAGTGACCCACACTTGTAATTCTAGCACTCAAGAGGCTGAGGCAAAAGATCATTGTGAGTTCAAGACTAGCCTGGGCTCAAAGCCAGCCTGAACTGCACAGCAAGACTTTCTCAAAAAGACAAAAAGACAAAAAAAAAAAAAAAAAAAACAGGCTGACAAAGAAGGATCACTTGAGTCTAGAACTTACGAGTTCCAGGCAAGCCTAGGAAATACAGCAAAGCTCTATTTTAAAAGTCAAAAGCCCATAAATTAATTTTAAGATATATTCGGCCAAATACATTAAGTATTACCAAAAAGAAAAAAAATCAAGAAAAGTCATGACAATTTTGAAGATAAAAAATAAGAAATCAATGGAGGAAGTCTTGCCCTACAAGATATTCAGTAAGCAGACTTTAGCAAAGCCAAGTCTTATAAACTGTTACATATTCTATCTCTAAATATACAGATAAAATTAGACAGCTAAGGAAGCAAATTCAGGTCTTAACAATTCCAGAGCCTATACTCTTAACAAATATATTAATGGTTTACTTATACTGATTTTCCAAATTTTATCACTCAGTCATCCTCATGAAAGTATAATCAACCACCCATGTTTATAGTGGCACAGTTTGCAATAGCCAAATCTTAGAAACAGCTTAAATGCCCATCAACTGGTAAATGGATAAAGATGTGATTTTTTTAATACTACTCAGTCATAAAGAAGAATCAACTTGAAACATTTCTAGCTAAATGGATGTACTGAGACCATACTCTTAAGTGAAATAAATCAGACACACATGTAAATACTGCATTGTTTCTCTGATGTGAGAAACTGAAAGTATAAATGGGGACCAAAATGTATACTATCGGGAAATGGGAAGAAAGTGTTCAAATAAAGGAAAGAGGAGGGTGAAAGGAAAGGAACAGAGAAAAAAGAATAGAAAGAAAAAATGGAAACAAAGGTTTGTAAATAGGTGATGAAGCGAGGGAAAAGGAATGGGAAAAAAGGAGAATCAATATATATCATGTACAGTCAAAAAAAAGTGTATGTAGCATATGGGCCAAAAACAGACTCAGTGAACTGGCATTAAGCCATGACCTGACACTGTTGCGCACGTCACCAAGAAGCTGAAAAGGCACAGGGATGGCACATTCACCATGCCAACCTCTATGAAGGTCAAAGATGCAGCTCTATGTTTAAACAACAAGCAGATTAGTTCACATGTTTCACCCAAATAAAATGAGGTTTTCATGATCTGTAAAATCTATAGTAACTACAGAATTTAAACAGCTGGCAATAGAGTAAAGTTTAGATTTCTATAATTTCATCTTGCTATAACTGGTTAGAAATATTTAACATAGTAAGGATGGTCGAACAATAATGCACTTAAAATATAGTTTTGTTTTGTTTTGTTTTTTTCACATATGTCACTGTGGTGTGATGTTTTTCAATCCTTCTGGGAAGATACACAGAAGGGGAATACCTGGGTTGAACGAGACCTCTAATCCCAATTTTTTGAGGAATCTCCACACTGATTTCCACAGTGTTTGTACTAGTCTATATTTCTTTAAAAGAAATATAGTTTCTTTTAAAGATTAAAAGTTATCGTTTTATATAATAATCTAAAGCAACATAAAGCCCTTGGCTATATCTTGAACTTTAAAAATACTTTGGGACAACTGACAAAATTTGAATACAGTTTCCAATTCTACTTTAGTAACACATCAACATTAAATTTAGGAAGTATTAAAATGAGATTTTTGGGGCTAGGGATTTAGCTCAGCGGTGTAGTGTCTGCCAGCCAAGCACTTGGTTGTGAGTTTAATCCCTGGTTTAAAAAAAAAAAATGAGATTCTGAGTGAGTCAGCTGGAGAATGGACTGGAGAGAACCAGGAAGGAAGCTAAGCCCCTGCCTGTGAGCCAGCTAGAACAAGGAATGGGGAGAACCAGGAAGGAGGCAGCTAAGGCCCTGCATGTGAGCCAGCCTGAGTGCAGACTGGGGAGAACCAGGAAGGAAGCTAAGCCCCTGCCTGTGAGCCAGCTGGCATGTAGGCTGCAGAGAGAATAGATCTCTCCCAAGGAACTATACTGTTTCATTGACTTTGTAAAACTAAAGCCAGTAGTCTGAGCAACTATTTAGAGAAAACAACATGTAATATAGTAGTTATTGTAGATTTCTTACCGTCTTATCACTGTTTTGATTCATTTTATTGCTGTTTTATTTCCTTTAAATTAAAAATAAATAAATAAATAAAATGAGATTTATATAAGAAAGTACCTCATTCTTAGTTGGTACCACCAATGATTGTGAAGTAAACTATCACAAGATTTGAAACTCCCAAATGTTTTAAAAGGGTATATAACTTATAACAGATAAAATGACAGGGCTTATTTTGTTTTGAGACAGGGTCTCACTACATAATTCAGGTTGGCCTTAAACTCACTATATGGCCCAGGCTGGCCTTGAACTCACACAATCCTGCCTCAGCCTCCCAAGTGCTGGAATTACATGCATGCATCAACATGCCCAGCCAAAAGGGGTTTTTAAATGTGTCAAAATGCTACCAATTGTGAAATACAGGTAAAGGATATGCAGATGTTCATTGTATCATACTTTTGTTACTTTTAATTTTTTTTATACTTTTCTGTAGACTTGAATATTTTAGGGAAAATGTTACTTTAATTATAGTCACAAAGAATACAATTATACCATAAACTATGACCCAATGACATGCAGTATACAATGTATTTATTTTATTATTCTTTAATAACTATGTCAACAATTCCCAGAAGTGTAAGTCACTCCTACCAGTAAGAGGGTTTCACTTGTCGAGACATCACCAGGAACACCTGCAGCGACAGGACTTTCCTTCTTTGATTCCCTGTCGCCTAGCATGCCAGCAATGGTCTCAGCAAGAGCATCATTCACCAAACGTCTGATAGTGCCTGAACTCACAGGAACCCCCGCATCAACAAAAAGTTGGAGGGCACCACCACAGGTTCCTTCCACTACAAACAAAAGATTTTCAGAATAAGTCGGAGAGAAACACACTTGTCGTCTAAACCTTAGTGTTCACATTTTTACAGATGGCAACGTAAGTGTATATGGAAACTAAAAACAGAGTCAAAATAAAAATACAAATATACCTACTTACAATCAGACACTAAAATAATACAAATAATGAATATCTTCTCTTAACAAACCAAAGGGGGGGGCACATAGACGGAAATTTATTTATATGGCCTCTTCCCCAGCACTGCAGCATTTAATAATACAATGGATTTGCACCCATATTCAATATTATATCTGAAAACAGTTCACATTTCCAGTCTTGATCAAAAATACAAGCAAGCCACAATAAGTATGAGACAAACTGTCCTTTCCTCTAGTCGCAGATATACCACTTATCAATATTAAAGGCTAAACCTCTCCAAACATCTGCTGCAATTTTGATGCCTGTTACTAGTATGTACTTCCTAAGGATATTAATCTGCCACAGGGTTGCAATTTTTATTTACATGAATTATACAACATTAAGTAAAAATTCCTTTAGAGATTTTACTGAATTTAAATATTTCTGAAGCTGAGTGGAAATGTGTGAGCAACAATCTGTATAAGCCAATAGATACTTCTAGCAGCACAAGGATGGCAGCAACATGGAGAATTCTCTAACGGATGTATGGATTGCTGGGATTGATCATTCAGATGATATCAATTTACTCTGCAGTCACCATAGCCGAGAGTTCCAAAACTCCAAATTTAATAATAGAAAAATATGCCTATATATCCCTTTTTTAGTTTCCATAATAAACTGTTTTGGCATGTCCAAAAAACTCAGTCCTAAAGCCCAAAACTCCTCCCAAGACACTGTCAAGACAAAATCAGACAAAAATAAAACAGGATCTAAATAATCAATCTGAAAACTTTTTAAGATTTTAATCCAGAAAAACATCAACTTTCTTGTAACTTTGTTCATCAATCTTTTCTTTTCTTGAAAAGATAAGATGACAAAAGAAAACCTGAGGTAGTAGCAGCGGGAGGACAGATGAGCACTATATTATATAGGAGTACTTAACCAAATGCAAGAGTAAAATATATGAAGCTGAGATGCAATTTGTGAAGAATAGGGACTGAAGAGAAGCATAACAGTAGTAATATAGTTGTTGTTGTTGCTGTTGTTATTATTGTGATTTATTTAAATGTCCCCCCCAAAGCCTCAATCAGTCATGAAGGTGACTGAATCTAGCATTTGTGATTGGTTCACGGTCTATGGCTCAGATTGGTGGCTGAGTGTTTCACCTGTCCAGGGGTGGAGCCAGTGTAATGGCGGGCCAAGCAGGCGGGTCTTTCGCTTTTGCTTTTGCTGTGTTGCAGCGAATGGCTGCCCCACCACCTCACACTGCCCTGGAGCCCACTGAGCAGGGACTGAAACCTCCAAGAACTACAAGAAATAAACTTTTCCTTCCCTAACTTGGGTATCAGGTATTCTGTCTCAACAAGTAAAAAGTAAGTAACACAATTATAAAAACAGTAACTCCACAGCTTTACAGATTGAGTGCTGGGGAAATTGTGCTATCATTAACAGAAATAGCAGAGGAAGAGCAGGCATGGGTAGATAAGTGAAACACTTTTTGGACATGTCAAATGTGGTGTGCCAGGAGACTATCACATAGAATATTTGTCAACAGGGAGAACTATAAGTTTGTAACTCAGGATTGGCCTAGCAGTCATCAACTGACACAAGATAACTAATAGGAAGAAACTGGAAAAACAAAAAAGAAAGCAGAACACAGAAACTTGGGAAATAATTCTCTTTAGCTACCAGAAAATAAAATGAAAAACTGAAAGCCTTTGAACTAAAAAAAGATAGCAAGTAGAACAGAATGAAGCATAACAGAAGTCAATGACCTATAGGACCGTAAGATTTAGAGATGCTCAATGACAGATTCTGCCATCCTGAGGTTTAACTGTCTCTAACATGATACTTGCCCAACTTGGTTCTGGGCCCAGAGAATCAACTTATCTCTCCAAAAGTAACTTCTATGTTCTCCTAGTTCCACAAAGAAACCTCCTGCTCACTTTTTGCACATGCACCGAGCCCTTTCCAATCCCAAGACTCCACAGCCACCCAAGTGCTCCCCCCCAACCCCCAGTAAGTCTGTGTTCTGTTTTGCACATGCAGATGCTCCTTTAAATCAGCTGTTAATGGCATTTTGCCCACGTCCCACACTCCTCTCCCAGCCAGACCTGATAAAAGTACTTCTACTCCTTTGTTCTTACCAGAGAGTGCTTGCCTCTCTTCTGAGCCCTCCCATGCAGCAATAATGGCCTCTTTTGTCCTTTGTCTCTCTTATTGCACAAAATCTTATCACTCAACAGTACCCATCCTAGTAGAGTAAGGGTTTGAAAAATGCTACAAGGAAGAAGTTTCTTGAAGCAGAGTAAAAAACTAATATGCACAGAACAAAGAGAAAATGGGCAATACAAAAGTAAAAGCAGTGGATATAAATTCCAAAGGAAAGGAGGAAGAGGAAGTTATTCTTAGACTAGTAAGAAGGAAAAAGTAGAGATAATGATTTATACAAATGTTACCCCCAAAAATGGAGAACTTATACTAGTCAATTTCCTTATTATTAAATTATATAATTAAGAAGCATGCCATCAGCATAAAGAAAAACTCATAGATAAACAGGGAAGAACAGAAAGTCCAGAAACACGCCTTTACCAACTGACTTTCTTTCTTTCTTTCTTTTTTTGCTATCAACACTCGAACTCAGGACCTTACACTTGCTAGACAGGCGCTTGTGCCAATGAGCTATGTCCCCAGCCTGACAATTGATTTTCAACAAAGAAGTCAAAGTAGTTCAACAGAGAAAAAATAATTTTTTTCAAAAAATAATATAATTAGTAATTTATATCCAAAAAAAAGAAAGAAAAGGAATCTTATAAGGAAACGAAGAGGAGAAAATCTTAATGATTTAAAGTTAGGCAAGGGGCCGGGGAGATAGCCTCAATGGCACAGTACCTGCCTGGCAAACATGAGGTCCTGCGTTCAATTCCTGGTACCCACAAAAAATAAAAATAAAGTTATGTAAAGATTTAACTACTATGCTCCAAAAGACTCACAGTCTATAAGAAAAAATTGGTAAGTCAGATTTCATCAAAATCAATCTTTTGGGAGACAGACATGAGAGTGAGTGCCAGTCTGGGCTACAGTGAGCTCCAGCCCACCCTGACCTACACAGTGAGAGCCTGTCTCAGAAAAATAATCTTTTGCCCTTCAAAAGGTAATAGTGAGAAAGCAACAAGGCAAGACACAAACCAGAACATATTTCTGAGATACATATCCAATAAAGGACTTGCATCAATAATAAAGAACATATCTCAAGTTAAAAAGTGAACTCAAGATTTAAAATATTTCTGCAAAGTAAATATACAGATGGTAGATAAATCCACAGAAATTTCTACAGTGCCCCCAGTCATCATTAATTATTACTCTCACTACTATACCTAAGAAAATGCAAAGGAAAACCACAATGAGCTGTCTCCATCCACGGCAGAGTGGCTAGAATAAAACCACTAACACCACTAGTGTTGGTGGAGACAGAAAATTTGGCATTCTTACACAGTGCATCTTAGAATATAAAACTGTATACTCCCTTTGAAAAATTTACTATTTCCTTTAGATATCTCACATAACTAAAAGAAACTGTTTCTATACAAAAATTTGTTGACAAATATTCCTAGCAAATTTATAATAGACAACAACTAGATTACTACAAATGTCCATCAACTTGCAAATTATGGTAACGTACATCCATAGAATGTGCAATACAATGACTGTCAAAACACTATGTTAAATAAAATAAGTCAGAACAAAAAACTATACACTGTAGAATTACACATATTTAAAACATAGGGAAGGCCAAACACAGTGACAGAAAGCAGAGCAGTAGTTGTGAAGGGCCAGCAATATATCACAACTATGCAACTAATACATGGCTATGTGTATTTGTCAAAATTTCCCACACTACAGAGATAGTGAATTTTAAGGCAAGTAAACTATAATCTCAAAAAGCTAATAGAGCCTCAGGAGGCTGAGGCAAGAGGATTGCTGTGAGTATGAGTCCAGCGTGGGCTACCCAGTGAGTTCAAGGTCAGCCTGGACTGCATAGCAAGAACCTGTCTCAAAAAAAAAAAAAAGCTAAAGGAGGGTGAAAAGATAATTGGAGAAAAAGAATGCAAAGGAGGCAATGGCAAGAAGCACGAGAAGGACAAGAAAAAGGCCATGGCCTCTTTAAAAAGAAGTCTCACTTTTATTCGTTTATTTATTTTATTTATTTACTTATTTATTGGTACCGGGGATTGGAGAAGTCTCGCTTAACCACTCACTGGATATTGAAGAATCTTAAATGGTGTCAATTAAAGACTAGAGAGGAAAGGAAAAATAGTGTCAATTCTGAGAACTGTGGGGCTAGTGAAAGACTGAGGAGGTAGGGAGACCGAGCTCCTGCTACAGGGAAGTAATGGGCAGCCAGAGACGTGGCTTCCACACAGGGCAACACCAAACTGCCAGACTGGATGGCAGCAATGCAGGCCTTATCCTGTGTCAGCCAAGAATCTACTGGACCTCTGAGCTATAGAACTCTCCAATAAACTAAAAATATTTTTTTTGTTTTGGTGTTTTGTTTTCCGGTTTTGGTTTGTTCTTGCCCTACTGAGGATGGAACTCAGGTCCTCACACAGGCTAGACACTGAGCTACACCTCTAGTCCTTTCTAAATATTTTCACTGAAGCAGGGTCTCACTCAAGTTGCCCAGGCTAGCCTCAAACCTGAGAACCTCTTATCTCCTGAGTAGCTGGGTTTATAGACATACTTAAGGGCAGGCTAAAATGTTACCCTTTAACAACACCAACAACAACAGACACTCCATTCCACTTACCAATGTCCGGAGTAGATGGCTCACTGGCCTCACTGACTGAGATGCTGGCAGGAAGTTTAGTCTGCGAGGGGACTGGAAAGTGTCCAGAGATAATTCTTGACATTATTTCTTGTTCTACCCTGCAGGGATACAAATTAAAGATCTTAAATTTTGCTGAAATTTATAAAATGCTAGACATATCACCCTTAAGAAGAAAAGGACAAATATTGTAAGAGGATAAGCCCCAAACAATAATCTCCTTGTAGGAAATACTTCATGAAGTCAAATTAAAATCTTTTCTATTAGTCTAATGAGAAGCTTAACATGATCTTTAAATTCAAGGAGTTAGGCCAAAAACTTACTGGCACATTATGCCTAAAAGGTATGAATCCAACTCTATGAATCCAACTCCTCACATACATAAGGGACAATAAAAAATACAGTGAACGTTTAAATTTAAGTATTTATTATAATAGAAGACATATTGCCATTAATCCCCACTTAAAAGCTCACACTTGCTTAGATCATGCCCCATTATTCTTACCACCTTCTGAAGCAGCTCTGAAAGTCTTCTTTCATGAGTGTCCTTACAAGGTGTGATCAAAAATTCAAGGAATGCTGCTGCCAGTGTCACCCATAAGAAGGGCAGGATCATAAAAACATTACAGTGTGTCTTCATCCACCTCATTCACCAGATCTGGCACTGTGAGCCTTTTGACTGTTCTCCAAAATCAAAATGACCATGGAAGGTAAATACCTGGAATTAACACTTGGATGTAAAGGCAGGCATGCATCCCAGAGCAACTAAAGACACTCACAAAAAAGAACTTCCAGAACTGCTTCAAGAGTGGCAAGAACAACGGGACATGCCAAGTGAGAGAAAGTATTTGAGAGGGCTTAATGGCAAGTTATCTTTTACTGTAATAATGTTTTTTATTTAAAAATGCTGTACTTTCCATCACACCTCATATTAAACCCTAAATGACAGATATCATTGTAGAAAATTCACAAAATATATGCCAGGCATGGTGATGTACTATAATCCCAGCACTTGAGAGCTGAGGTAGGAGGACTGCCATGGCTACATAGTGAGTTCAAGTCAAACCTGAATTATATAGTGAGACATTGTCTCCTTGCTGTCCCCAAAAAAGAAAAAAAAAAAAATTAGAAATTATATAAAAGTCTCTTTATATTGTTAAGGTTAACCCATAATCTTAGATTCAGGGATATATGCAGTTGACAATTTAGTGTACATGTTTCCAAATTTTCACTCTGTGCACAGTTATTTTTGAGTAAGGCCTTAGAAACCAGATTGTTAGATACAGTGTTAGCACCCTACTTCACTTGTCCATAAGTGAATTATCTTTCAGCATCATTAAATATTCTTCTAGATCTAAATTTAATAGCAATTTATATTTAGTTGTTTGATTTCTTCCACAGCTTCTTTAAGATTTCTCAATAGAAAAAGCAAGTATAAAGAGATTTGTCTCCTACTCACATGCATATAAATAAAAGACTAAACACTTCCAGATGTAGACGTGTAACAAACTTAGATCAGTGTCTTATTTTTATGGCAGAATCGTAAGCATTCCCATAGGATAAATTTCTGAAAGTGAACCTAGACTAATGAATACCACACTGCTGAGACTCAATAGTAGCCTCTGCCACAGCAGCGAGCCTAAGTACAAATATTCAAGGACAAAAAACAATACTTCCGACAGTTTCTAATGACTACAGCAAAGCTTATATTAAAATTTTCACCTCACATCAAGCTTTCCATTCATGTTTGTTACTATGATTCTATTCATACCTACACTGCTGTAAACTCACCACTGAATTAAGTTATTTTCTAATGTGTTTTTTCTCTCAATCACTTTATCCAGAATATCAGTAGTGGGCTGAGCAGTAGAAAGAACTGGTGGAAAGGGAGGACCGTTATATTTTGTAGAAACAACTTTAACACTTCTGTTAAACTCCAGTATTGGTTCAGAGTACTCTGGAATTTCATCGCATTTCTCCTCGTCCTGGTAATAACAAAAAAAATCAAACTATTACATTCATGTATCTATTCAACATTTACCAAGCACCACATTTAACAGGAAACTTAGCTAGGTGAGTGAACTAACCAACACTTCTAAGTTACTCAAAAACATCTCTAATTAGATGGCATCACATTAATTACAATATACAATACACATCAATTTTATATATATATATTTCGGTCCCCGGTACCGATAAAAAGGAAAAAGACAAAAAAAATTTATATATATATATGTATATATATAATCACATCTAAGAAATCTTAATTACACAGTCAGTTTATCCTTTAAAAACCCAATCCTGGGGCAGTGGAACAGCTCAGTGGTAGAGCACTTGATTAGTACACAGAAGGACCTGGGTTTAATCCTCAGCACTTATGCACACTCTCACACACAGAAAGTAAACAAACAAAAAACCCAATATCCATTGTATAAAGTCATAAAACAAATTAGAAAACTTGATTATTCCTCTATAATACATTATTAACATAAAACATTAAATTTAACAGATGCTTCCAAATATCACTGTTTGCTCTTGCAAAACACTCAACTTCAATTAAAAATGCAGTTAGGACACTTTATTCATTCTTTGCATCATGACAAAAAAGTTATATTTGGAATTTTTAAAACATTACAGGGCCAAGGATGTAGCTCAGTGGCATAGCACTTGCCTGGCAAGTCCTGAGGTCCTGAATTCAATTCCTGATACCCACTCCCCTAAAAATTACAAAAAGTGACACAGTCTTTAAAAGTAAACAAAACAGTTTCCATGTACTATATGTTGGACATAAATAACATGAATTGCTTTTGTCTGCTCTTTAATTTCAACAGTTACGAACTTATGGGCAGCTCACTGTCACCTAGACTAAACAAATCACAGAGACATCATCCTGCCTATTATTCAATACCCATTGTTAAAAAAAGTTCAGTCTCTTTAAATATAAGTCATGAATGTTGTCCCATCAACACTATGAAGCGCACAGCTATCTCGTGTAGAGTTTGAGTCAGAGTCCTTGTCCTTGAACTCCAAATCCACTGTGAGTTCTACAAACAATTCTGTCACTTGCACATGAAATACACAGGTTCACAAGGAGCTTCGTGAGGCTTTAGCGATGTAACAATAAATAAACCTCCAGCTTTGAAACACTCACGTGGCTGGGGTTATAGCTCAACGACTTAAGTGCCTTCCTGGCAATGCTAGGTCGTGAGTTCAATCCCCGGCACCACACCCACATACATTCAAAAAACCACTCACATGGCACCCATGTGGTGCTCACATAACAAGACATACAGGTGAACAAACAGCATTAATATACTGCATACTTCTGCAAATTCTTTTTTTTTTTTCCATTGTCATGGGCTCTAAGTACTTCTGCAAATTCTAAAAGCAGATTTAATTTCTAATGAAGAAAACTAGTCTTAACTTTGAAACTCAAACAATATGAAAATATATCTTCCTTGAAGACTACTGACATATTAAAATAGTCGTTTCTATGTTGTACTTTTTTTTTTTTTTTTTTTTTTTTTTTTTTTGGTCTTTTTGAGTCAGGATCTCACTATGCAATTCAGGTTGGCCTTGAGCTCACTTTGTAGCCCAGGCTGGTCTTGAACTTGCAACAATCCTCAGCCTCCTGAGTGCTAGGATGACAGATGTGTGCCCCCCACCCTGGCTTTACAATCATTTCTTACAGTTTTTGTATTTTATTTCCTCCTCCTTTCCTTCCATTTTATTTTTATTTCTATTATTTCCATAACTCTAACTTCCATATGAGATCTTGGATTTTAGCCCATCACAACTTTTTTCTCAATTATAAACTGCCACCACTGCAGAAATCAAAAGATAAATGTTATCAGAGTGAAAAAATGACTGATGAGATAGAAAACAAAAGAAAGAAGAAAGCAGGGAAAATGAAAGACAAGATCTAGGTGGGAAAGATTAATTATTTGAAGAATGATATAGATGAAGACAACAATGTACTACAGACTAACAATGTCATGTTTTAACATAAAAGTACACTTTAACTTAAAAGCAACTTTCTCAAAGTGCTGTAACAGGATATGGACAATCAAAAGATAATCACAGAGAAAAGTCCTGGAAGAAAATTGTTATGGTTGATACACTGTGTCAACTTGACAAGTTTAGAAGTTTAACTGAGAGACTCAGCAGGGAGACAGGGTTCTTACTTTGTCAATATCCTCATCCTGTGCAAAGGAGGGCAGGGAGGTTTTGTGCTACACCTGCCCTGAATGGTGGGGGGTGGGGAACCTGGATACAATATAAGGAAGGAAAAGAGGCTTGAGCTTTCCCCTCTTTTGCTCTGGCTGCTGCCTTCAAGTGCTACCCCAGTGCCATGCCTTAGAGCCAGCTGATTATGGACCGAAACCTCCAAAAACTGAGCTAAATAAACCTTCCCTTTCTTCATTTTGGGTGTCGAGTGTTTTGTCCTAGCAACCAGAGAAAAGAAACCAAGACAAAAATTTTTCATGGATTCAAAGCTTTGTTACCTGAATGACATCGATGACTTCATCAAAGTTAGATCCTGGAAACTTCACCTCTTCTTCATTTGCCTTCATAAATTCTGGAGACTAAGAAAACATTTTATACACCATAAACTTGTAATTATATGTGCCTTTGTATTTTAATATCCTATTCAGAATTGATTTAATCAGTAAATGAAATAAAAGTTAGTACTTAAGCCATTAGTTTATCATTTCAATAGCTATAAGAAATTAAGTATCAGTCTTCATATTTAAAAGACTCCTTCAACAAATGCAATATAAACCAATGAGTCAACAGATTGATATAATTATGACTTCTCTTATATATTTAAAATAAAGAATAGCCAGATATGACAGCACATGCCTGCAATCCCAACACTTGAGAGACTGATATTTTTCCTCTCTTTAAAACTATTCTCCATGATCAAATTTGCTTACAATAACTAAAATTTGGAATGTACTAAATTTTACTAAATTTGTACTAAAACCATACCTTTATTATTCAGAAGGGTATAAGTATCAGAGGATAAGTATCATAGTTTTGCATCATGGTAATAGTCTGATGATCACAGAGTAACAAAGCAAGTATGAACTCTAATTGTCACTAAAAAACTCACATTCAGGAGAGTTGTAATTCCCATGTAAATCGAACACTCCTTACAAAAGAAAATTTCTTTCTTCACATATTATAATCTCACAATTTACCTTACCAAAAAGTTACACTAAGGATTATCACTTTCTGAACACTTATGCATTGCAGGATCTGAAACAGACTTTCTTTTTCAAGTTCATAAACAATCTGAGCTTGACTGTGAACCTTCTCCTCAAAACCTAAATCACACGTTTCCATTACAGTGGAAAGCTTTACACAGATTAACATTAAATTCTGCAGTCAGCCTTTCCTGAAAGCAAGGTGACAGAACTCTATACCGGACCTGTGTGCACATCCGCATCAGAGGGAAAGGTGCTCCTTCTGGACTGGACAGAAAAGGCAAGCTGCTGGGGGCGCTGCTATTTGAAACACTGTCGATGTCCACACTGGGTAATACCTGCAAAGAACACAGCATCCAGCCTTTTCTTTATTATTCCTTCTCAAGTATCTGTCAAAATACAGACACAGCACGCCTTTTGACTTTTTACTGTGAAGCCAATGACTAACAAATTCTCTAAATTATCAAAGTATGTTTTACAACATATGAAAATCAATGGGCAAACACACAACCCTCTCTTAAGGAGCCAGGTGTAGTACTGCACTTCTGTAATCTCAGTGCTCGGAAGGCTGAGACAGGAGGATCACTGTGAGTTCGAGGCCAGTCTAGGCTATATGATGAGTTCAAGGGCAGCCTCTGCTACACAGAGAGAACTTGTCCACAGAATCAAAACAAAAAACAAAGAAATTTTTAAAATTCTATCTTAACATAACTTCTTTTTCACTACTATAGTCTTAATCTTTTTACTATCCACTTAGGCATAAATAAATCTAAAGTAGTTTTCATTTTCAATTTTTGACTATTTTTAGAACAGAAACACCTTATGAAGGTCTGTACAGACGTCATATCTTTAAACAATTATATAATATTTCAACAGCCTGGGCAATTTAAAAATTAGTGACAATCTGTCTTAAACTTTTACTAAAAGGGGAGGGAGATCGGGGATATAGCTCAGTGATACTGTACTCCTGGATCAATCCCCAGTACCATTAAAAAAACACAAAAATATTCATATCTTAATTAATTATGCTTCTCTTGCTAAACAGGGTATATTTTTATGCAAAGATCACCCAAAAAAATTCTCCATACTTTTCTTCTTAAACTTTGAACTATTTCATTATGTTAGTAATTTCTTTAGCCATGAAGCATGTATATTTACGATCCCTGTCATTACTAGCAAAATGCAATCCAAACAATCTCTATTTCCATCATCAAAATATAACTAATTCTACACTTTATTAAATTAGATAATTAAGATAATTTCTGCAATAACTGCTATTTTGGGTCAGAATTATTAAAATGGCTTTTAAAATGGAGGTATATTACTGTTATTTTAATTTACATTATCTTGGCTACTAGCAAAATTTAATTTGCTTGATGGTAATCTGCATTCTACTTTGGTGATTCTTATTTATGTCCTTTGACTATTTCGGGAGTTAGATCTATGTTTTTTTCAGTATGTTGTTTCCCTTTTATTTAGGAATTTTTAGCACATGAAGCTTCAGATTTTACAGGTTCAAGTCTGTCTGCTTTCTTATCATATCTGAATTTTTTTCTTTCATTTCCAGACTAAATTTCAATTTAAAAATTTCATATAATTTTCCATTTTTATATTGTATAGTTACATCAACTATTTGTAACTTATTTGCTATTCAATAGGAATTTAAGAGTTTAAAACTCTTATTTATTTTATATTGTCTAATTATGACATACAGTACTTCATTTACAAAAACTCTATTTCCCATTGATTAACAAAGATTTTATATACATTCTTTTTAAATTACAAGACTAATTCTGAAATTCTGTTATATTAGGTCAGTAGGCAAACCCTTAAATTTCCCAAGCTCTTTATTTTTTCAAACATCAAAATGATCCTAAAGTTCTAGTATTGTATTAAGCCAAAGATTTTTTTCTTCAAAAACTTCTGGTCATGAAAGATAGTCTCTTTAATAAATGGTGCTGGGAAAATTGGTTATCCCCATGCAGAAGATTAAGTTTAGATTCATACCTCTAAATGACAAAATGGAAACAATATACTAGAAGATAAAATATGTAAAATTCTTAAAGATACAGGGGTAACAGATAAGGTCTTTCTGAGGAGAACCTTAATTACACAAACAATAACGTCAAGAATCAAAAAATGGGTGAGAATGGTGGCACCTGCCCGTAATGCCAGCACTCAGGAGGCTGAGACAGGAAGATCATCATGAGTTTAAGGTGAGCCTGGGGTACGGAGCTTAAGGTAAGCCTGAAGTGCATAGTAACACCCTGTCTCAAACACAGACACACACACACACACACACACACACACACACACACACACCTTCTATATAGCAAAGGAAACAATCAAAAGAGTGAAGAGACAACTTACAGAATGAGAAAAAAAAAACTGTCGCTATTCCTGGGACAGACGATCAGTATCTAGAATATACAAAAAACTCAAAAGCACCAGACCCTCCCCTGCCACAAGAATAAATAATCCAATCAAAAACTGGTAAAAACATGAAAAAATAACATCTATAGCCTTAGAGAAATACAAATTAAAACACTTGAGATTCCTTACTCCAGAAAAAATGTCTATCATCAAGAAAGCAAATAATAACAAATGCTGGAGAGCGACACAGAATAAAGAATGCTTCTACATTGTTGACGTGAATGTAAAGTAATATAGCCAATACAGAAATCAATGGTGGAGATTACTCAAAAAACTAAAAATAGAAATTTAAAAAAAAAAAAAGAAATTCCATTTGAGCCAGCTATTCTTTCTAGAAATCTTCCCAAAAGTTAAAAACATCCTATCTATTACAATGATAAACACACACCCAAGTTTTTAGCAGCAGAATTCATGATAGCTACATCTTCAGAATAGCCTGTATATCTAGCAAAAGCTAGATGGGTAAAGGGAATGTGGTATTTATACACAACAGAACATTACTCTGCCATAAAGAAGGATAAACATGAGTCACTTATATGAAAATGGATGCATCTTGAGACCATGTTAATGGCAATAAACCAGATACTCTAGTTCAAATATCACTTTGTATCTATAATGTAAGAAACTTAAACAACAGAAGAGCAACATAAAAGACAGATAATAAGAAATGCAGAGATGGATCTTTCGTCAAACGGAAGGGGACCAAGAGAGTGAAGGGAGGGAGAGGAGGAGATGGAAAAAGATTGAAGATGTGTTGGGTACATGTACCAACACCCCATGTGGTACAGAATCATTATGTACTGCAAACGGTACTACTAATAAAAAAAAGTTGAAAAAAGAGTATATTGAAAAAATAAAGCTGTTCAAATTTTAAAAACCTGTTTTTCTGCTCATGCAACCCGGCTTACCTGTACAGTGAGCTGAGGAGGATCCTTTTTTTCCGACTTCATTTCTACAACGGCTATGTTTGGTTTCTTGACTCCAGTTTCTACTTTTCGAGATGATGGAGGAATAGAAGTGGTCACAGTGACGGGGTGTAGCTTGTGTACCACTCCAGCAGGGGGTAAGGAATCACTATTACTCTGGGTTTGTCCTAAGAAGTTTAGGGCAGAAAAATGAGTCCAGTATTTCCACTAGTTCAGAAATAGAGCAAAAAGTCCAGCCTCGGTCTGGAGCTCTGGGGCTGCTTCCCAGTATGAAAGGAGAGCAGCTTCTACAGTCACCTCTGCTCCATCACACTGCCAACGCACTCCCACCTCACCATCTCCGTCCTCTTGGTGGCACTAGGACTTATTGGACCTGGTCATTTCACACAGACCATCGAACTTACCCTCAGGATAAAGGCTCTGAAGCACTAATATTCTCCACATTATTCTATTCTATTCTATTCTATTCCATTCGTGTGTGTGTGTGTGTGTGTGTGTGTGTGCCAGGTGTCCAATATAGCTTCACACTTGCCAGGTAACTGCTTGTGCTGCGGAGCTAAATCCCAAGCCCCTAGTCTATTGTATGCTATGCCATGCTATGCTATTTTTGATAGAGGGTCTTGCTATGTAGCCCAAGATCACCTTGAACTCAGCAATCCTCCTGCCTCAGTCTCCCAAGTGCTGGGATTATAAGCGTGCACCACCATGCCCAGCTTCCATATTTTTGAAAGCCCCAAAACCTTGTTGGCTTTTTCCAAGTCCCCACTTGTTTTCTACATTTCAGAGAGAGACAATATAATATACTTTTTTTTTTTTTTTTTGGTACCGGGATTGAACTCACGACCACATACTTGCAAGGTGGGTGCTTATGCTGCTGAGCTAAATCCCCGGCCCTAATATAATATACTTTTAAAACCACAATCTCTAAAGTGAGACTGTTTAGGTTTAAATCCCAGCTTCACTCTAGCTAGGCAGTTCTCCAACAAATTTCTACTTAGTTTCTTTGCAACTAAGGTTTTTTAAAATATAAAATTGATATATTACCAAATGCTTTATATATAGGTTAAATCAGAGAACTTATACATAAAGTGTTTACTAGAATGTCTGAACACACATGAGCCATCTAGTTGGCATGTCATTAACCCACAATATCCAACCTAAAAAATACTTTGCTTAAAAATTCATATTTAAATCATGTATCAAAAGTAAAAGAAAATAGCAATGACAGTGAAAAAGTTAATTAGATCTGAACTGCTGGTGTGAGGGCAAAAATGATTTATTCAGTTTTCAACACTGTGAGTCAGACAAATCTCAAGTAAAAATAAATATTGACTTGAAATATAACTAAAATTTACCTATCATAGGACAGCTCAAAAGTACATAAACGTGACTTAAGGTACTTCCTCTAAGACAGGACAATCTTAACAGGTCAATAAAACTTCTTAAACTGTTATAAACATTGATGATACGTCTTTAGTTTCATTTAATCTATAGCAATGCTCTATCAAATACCAAAGAACATTTCCTGTGGGTAAAACTATAGCAAAAACCCATCATTTCAGAGAAGGAGTCAGCAGAGGCTCTCCCTGCACAACTAAAGTAGGTGACTGGTGTGTCAGTAATGTTCTGTAAGTTTTACTACTGCTGGTAAGAAATTAAAATTCACACAACGTATTTTACTAGTTCTTACCTAGAAGAATTGCCATAGGAATTAGATGACCTTCCAGAGTACCTGAAAATGTCGGCATTTCTCTGCTAGGGCTAAACACATACTGCTGCTCACCATGAGGTAAGGCAGGAATGCTATGTTGCATTTTAGAGTCTGTCTTCATAGGTTTTGTTGCATGCAAGTCAGTTTGTGTTCGTATTGACTTGACTTTAGTACCTATGATAATCACAGAAATACTGGGATCAATATTATCCACAAGGGCAAATATCACCAATAAACTACTTGTTTTATTAAATAATAATAACATTTATAGATAACCTGATACCCTAACTTTATTACCTTCTATGATCACCTAAGTCTTAGAAAAGAAAAAAACAAAAACAACTGCCATAGCTCCAAGCTCCGGAAAGGATGAGAGGAAACTGGGTAGTAGTAGCTAATATACTGTCAGAGCAGCTTACTGACTGCTAATGTATAAGCTGAGAAATGTTAAAATGTAACCAAAATAAAGGGGCTCAATATTCAACTAAATTATAGTAAATATACCATTGAAATGGCAGATGTGAGCCAAAACATGAGGTGATACATGAGGACCTCTTAAACTGGCTACAAAAGTAACAACAACAAAAAAAGTTCACCTTTGCTACCTAAAGCTCACTGGGAAAACAAAAATACACAAGTGCCCATAAACCCTTCAGTAATAAACAGCATGGGGCTGACCTTCGTGTTTGAAGGGACATAATGGACTAAGGTCTTCAAGAAAATGCCTAGTTTCCCTCGATTCTAATTTAGATCATGCAAGACTCATCACCTAAATAAAAATTTATCATGCTTTATCTCAAGATATCATCTAATCCTGAAATTCTTCCTACTTATTTTTACCCTGTGCCTTAGTTTTAAGTTTTAGTCTATTTTTTGTTAGTTCTCCTGGAAAAAAATTATTTTTCCGACCTTAAGCATTATAGTCTCAATTGTATTTATACATTGTAAGTAAATACAGACATACATCACCAAATAAAAGGAAACTACTTAGTTTTACTTAATGCATTAAACTGATAGTATTTTAAAATGAGGCAAAACACAAAAAGTTACGTTCCTCACCTTTAACTTGCTCTATTACTTTTGGTCTCTGTGGTTTGGACTTAAGAGATGTAGAATTAAACCTGAGGTACGGGCCTCTTTTAAGAGTGCTGCGATGGCCCTGATACACTGCTTTTCCATAGACTTGGGACATGTAATCCTCATCTCGTATCATCGTGGGAGACTTCAAAGGCCCCTAGATATATAGCATTATTAAACACACAATAAAAAGAATCAACCCCTTATCTCATTTTTCAAAAGCCTCCTTTGCTAGTTTAAGTAGTAGAGTACTTAACTTAAATGATCAAGTCAGAAAAATCCTCTGTCTTAAAGAGTCCTTAAATTTTGGATACAGCTTTCAAACATCAGTTTTATTCTTCTATTTATTTATTGACTTTGGTTTTCTGAGATAGGGTCTCACTATGTAGTTCAGGCTGGCCACGAACTCCCTTTGTAGCCCAGGCTGGCCTCAAACTAGTGGTGATCCTTCTGCCTCAGCCTCCCAAACACTAAGATTATAGGCATGCAACACCACGTCTGGCTCCCAAACATAGGTTTTTAAAATACAGAAAATGTAAATATAAAAGTCATTCACGTATAAAACATGAAAATTTTCACACTACTAATTATATATTTAATAACAAAAAAGTAATGTTTAAACATATTTCATATTTAGCATGTATTATATTCAAGAACAATAAAAAACACAATAAGCCTAGTCCTTAAATGACTTTATACTGTACTTTCCTGACCCTACTTTCAATCCTAACCTACATGCCTCACAAAGCAGATTAGGATGTGTTACTAATCTGTTCAACAATCTATGTTTAGCATTAAAAATACTACAGCCTAATTGAACAGTCGAAAAATTCCCTGTGTGGCAGGTGTGGTGGCACACGCCTGTAATCCCAGCACTCAGGAGGCTGAGGTAGGAGGATAGCTGTGGGTTCAAGACCAGCCTAGGCTACAAAGTGAGCTCAAGACCAGCCTGAACTGCACAGGGAGGCTTTGTCTCAAAAGACAAAAAACAAAACAACAACAACAACAAAACAATTCCCTGCACAGTATCTAGAACTGTATTGTACTCAACTAGACACCAAACATAGATTTGTTAAACTTAAAAATTAGCCCAAAATACACACACACACACACAGACACACACACATACACACACAAACACAGAGATGTAACATGTTTTTGAGTACCACAAAATAGACACTCTAGTTTTGGGGTTAGATAATCCCAAATTATACCTGCAATAACTGGAGTATTATGCTTCTAAGTATGTGATTTAAATCTGGTCATGGTGGCATGCACCTGCAATTCCAGCTATTTGAAGGGCAGGAGGATAACTTGAACCCAGAAGTTTGGAGCCAGCCTTGGCAATCCTGTCTTTTTGTTTTTGTTTTTGCTTTTTAAGACAGATTTCACTATATAGCCCAGGCTGGCCTTGAACTTGAGCAACTGTGTTGCTTCAGTCCCCTCTATGCTGGGATTACAGGCATGCTCCACCACGTGTGCCTTTTTGTTGTTGTTGTTATTAACACCCTGTCTCTTAAAAAACAAAAAATAAAACAACACAAAAAACAAAGTATGAGATCTCAGGAAGGAACAACAGGCTTCATGCAATGGTTTCCACAGTATGGATCCAAAACCTTAAGTATCAATAATGTAAAGATAGTTTTCATTTGTATACAGCTTTAAAAATATCTTCATATTAATTTCATTATGTTTAAATTACAGGAAATGATCAATTATAATGCAACATTTATGTCATAAAACCAGAGTAGGATCTTACTGCTTTTCTTTCTTTCTGTAAACTGGAAACAGCCATGCTCCTTGCAGGTGGACTTCTAAAATAATCCTCTACTTGTTTTTGAGGTTTTTTTAGAATTACAGATTTATTTACAGTTTTGTCTTGTGTGTTGGCTTTAATATCTTTACTCATAATCTGTGCTTTCTGGGTCCTTTGATTCTTCTGAGCAAATCTCCTTTGTTCAAAATCTTTTCTTGCCAGTTCATCCTTAAGTTAATAAAAATTAAAATTATTTCAAACCTATTCAAACAGTAATGCTTTCACTCCAGAAAAATAGTTGAATACATTTTTTCTGGTATAAAAATGCCTTAAATGCTTTAAAATATATTGTTTTAAATGCTTTAAAATAAAAGATATTGGCTCATATATGAATAAAATCTCCTTGAAAATAAAAAACTAAAGGCATTAGTATTTTATGCAGTAGGGTAAATAGGAAATACCAGATGAAACACAGGGGTAGGAAAACAACTTTTCATTACAAGTTTTTTAAAACACTTTTTGATATTTGAACTACATGAGTTTAATAACATTAAAATTAAATTTAAAAATAAATTTTGTAAAAAGGAAACAGCCAAGAGTACTGGTGCACACCTGTACTACCAGCTACTTTAGAGACTAAGGCATATTCTTACTTTAAAGTGAGCCTGGGTAACTTAATGAGACACTGTCTAAAAATAAAATTTAAAAAGTATTTGGCACACAGTGCCTGCATGACAAATTCTATTTCCAGTACTAAAAAGTATCTGGGATATAGCTCAGTGGGAGAGTATTGTCTAGCATGTACAAGGCCCAGAGATCAAATCAAGTCCCAAATAAATAATAACAGTAACCACAATAGTGGTAATGTTTTAATATGCTGAAATAAATATTTAGAAATTAAAATTACTTGAAGGTTTAAAAAAACATACTTTATGTTGAATTCATAGTAATAAAGAGACCCACCTGGGTAACTGGCTACAAGGTTAGAATTAGACTCCCATCTTTAGACTGTTAGCTTTTTTTCTGATTCATCTTATAGTAACTAGTATAAATGCTTTACAACTGAATTATAGATTCAGATTCCTAAGAGACAAAATTTTAAAGATATTTCCATATGTATTGTACCTCACCTTACTGCCGTAGTGGTAAGCACATAAGCACCTCTCACAGTCAACAAAATACTTTCCTGCTTTTTAGAACAAAACAGCAGGCTACCCCTGACTAAGTTCCATTCCTTCAAATGAGGCAACTTTGAAGGATTTCCTGTAAATTATGAACTTCTAATAAAAACTCCAGAGATCTGCAATGCTGATGTCCAAAGATGTAGTACTATGTCCTTCACAGATATGAAAAAAGGAATCCTGACATCCAGAATGGATATCTATACCTTCAACAACCTTGGAAGTGAACTTTTTTTCCTTTTAACTAACGTCGGTGTTTTTACTTTAGCAAACCAGTGCTTCTAAATGTGTTGTACTGAAACATCTTTTCAAGTATAAATCTTTTCAAAACAGTCAAATTAACCACATTATCATTACTGTCCAATAATTTGCCATGTAAGAACCACAATATGAAACAAAGTGCTTGTTCAATAAAACTATACTTACAATTTTGTAAAAAGACAGAATGAAATTAAAAATATTAAGTGTACTTATATGTAACAAGTATTTTGAGAACAAATATAAATTGAAACCAAAATTATATTCCCAGAATGCATTTAACTTTTTAGTTTTTTCCTATGACATACCTGAATTTCTGCAGAAATAGCTTTAATCCACTCATCTACTGTCTTTCTGATCCTAATTTTCTCTGTTATCTCTCTACAAAAGAGAAAAAAGAATTTTCTTTTCCGTTTTTCTTATGACAAGGTCTCACTACGCAGTGCAAGCTGGCCACAAACTCATGGCAACTCTCCTACCTTAGCCTCCAGAGAGGTGGGATTATAGACATGTGCAATGCAGTAACTTTAATTTCCATTTCATGTCCTTAGAATAGAACCTGGATCAGATATCATTCTTATCTAGTTTTAAACCTATTCTTTAGTTCAATATCCTTCTGAACAGGAAAAAACCAACAGTATTAATTTTCATCAAATGTTTAAAAGATAAATGTTTGGAAAAAATCACAGACATATACAAGATCTCCAAAAGGCATGTAATCATTATGTAATACAAACATAATTCAAATAAGTAAAAACTGAAAAAAAATCTCTTGCTTGTTTTTGCTGCCTCCTGCCATGCCAGGCACATTTTTCTCTGCCATGCCTCTCTGCCATCCACCCTGCCTTGGAGCTATCCAATTACAGACTGAAAGCTCTACAAACTGTGAGCTACATAAACTTTTTCTTCTTTAGAAAACCTGAGAGAGAGTGTGTGAGTTCCAGTAAGGACAAAAAAAAAAAATTTTAAAGCAAATGTCCACAGGGAAAAGCATTACCATATAATTGCAACTTTATATCAAGTGCTATAGTTTCAAAGCCAATGAAAAACCTTTTCTGAATATTAACATATACTAATGAAAGAGAAGTGGTTCACAACGTGACAAAAGTAGAACTGGCAGCTTTATATAAATAACCTCGGGAAACCAGCATCATCTCTTACCTATTAGTAGACAAAGCATTGATAAATGAATACATAGCAGCTCCATCCTTTGCTCGAATAATAGCTTCCAGGTTTTCCTCAAGCATTTTTTTGTTGTTTTGTACTGCTCTCAAAATTTTCTCAGCATCTTTCAGTACAGATCTCGTATTGGTTGTTTGAAGTTTACAAGAACTCTGGGGAAGATCAGCAAGTTCAACATTATCAGAGATTCTTTTGGCTTAAAATGCAAAACAGGCCAAGGATTTAGCTCAGCGGCATAAGCACCTGTCTTGCATGTGCGCAGTCGTGAGTTCGATCCCCAGTACCAAAACAAAAGAAAAAAACCGTAAAAAGCAAAACAGTTACCATGTTAAACCTATATTGATTATGTTAACCCAAACGAGACCTATTATTCTTGTTGGACCCATACCTTTTAATTTTAAGTACTCGCTTTGTCAAACTGACAAATTGTAAACAAATATTTGGTAATTAATGTTTTGCCATTTAGAAGTAACAAGAACCAGGTGTGGTGGCACATACCTGTCTATAACCCCAGCACCCTGGGAGGCTAAGGTAGGAAGACTCCAAGTTCAAGCACAACACAGGCAATGTGGTAACGGACTAAGATTGTCTCAAGATTTAAAAAAAAAAAAAAAAAAAGGGATGCAACTGAGTGCCACTGGGCAGGGGGTGCACATACTACCTTGGATGTTGAGTAAACAGAAATAGGGAATTCACAGTAGTGTTCCGTAGCCCAGTGCTAATGAGTACGCTACTGCTGGAGAAAGAAGTTAAACAAAGTGCCAGTTAGTTCTGAAAGAGTATGGCACACTGGGCCGTGAGGCCCTTATTACCTCTCTTTCTCCCTTTCTTTCACCCCAGCAGAAGCTGGAAAGCCAGAGGTGACTGCATGACTCAGTACTGGCCAGTGAGGAATAAGGAGAAATTAGTTGAAGGTTTTTGACGAACTTTAATAAAATGAACAGACTTAGTCCTTTTTGTGTTTGATTTCCATGTTCCCCCTGATTTCTGTCCCAGTAAGTTTACACTGCCTCTTCATTTTTACTGTACTAATTATCAATGTTGGCACTACTCTTGCTTTACCTGGAGCACACTGTTGGTTTCTTTCCTCTTTTGGCCAAGATCTTGGAGAACATCATTAGGTTTCTGCACAGTCACTATAGCTGTTCCTGGTTCTCCAGAAGAAGGAAATCTTTGAGAAGACAGGGCTTCAAAGCTGCAGATTAGAAAAAAGCTTCCAAAATTTTTATGAATTCAGTAGGGTTTTGGGGGCTGTTTATTGTTTTGAAACTGTCTCACTATGTATTAAGGCTGTCTTTGAACTCATTACGTAGCCGAATTGGGCTGCAACTTGCAATAATGTTTCTGCCTTAACCTCTGAGTGATGGGATTACAGGCATGCAAAATTCAGTAACCACGTTATTATTTACCTCTTCAATTCATTCTTAGGTATATCTTACTAAATGTTATTTCTATTATAATTATACCATGGAATTAGTTATGTGATAAATACATGACATAGAAATGACAAAGAGACAAAACTAGTTTGGTCAGACATGTTACATATAGCAGGAAAGGAGCAAAAAAGCTGTTGCTTTCAAGAAGTAGCATTCAACTAGGCATGGTGTTGCATGTACAGGAGGCTGAGGCAGGAGAATCACTGCAAGTTTGAAACCAGCATGACTTCAAGGCCAGTCTGAACTGCAACTGAGACCCTATCACCAAATACATAAATAACTAACTCAGATAATAGACTTACTAGACAAAGACTATAAAACGGTTAATTAAGAAAACAGTTCAGGCAAAGTAAAAAAAATTAAAGGAAAGTGTAAGAATACAGTCTTTAGCTGGATGTGGTAGCAAATGCCTATGATCATAGCACTTAAGAGGCTGAGGTAGAAGGAGTCCAGAAATTCAAGGCCAGCCTGGGCTACACAGTGAGTTCAAGACCACCCTGAACTACACAGCAGACTCTGTTCTAAAAAACAAAAACAAACAAAAAGAATAGCCTTGTCAAGTAAGAAAAAAATAGAAATGTAAAACGGAGCTGACCATGATAGTTAACACCTGCATTCTAGAGGCTTGGGAGGCTAAGGCAGGAAGACTACAAATTTGAGCCAAGCCTAGGCAATTTAACAAGATTCTGTCTGACAATAAAAAAGGGTTGGTAATGTAGCTCACTGGGAAGGCCCTGGGTTCAATCTCCAGTATCACAAAAACACAAAAATTACTATAAGGCCTCAACAGAATACTTGAGTTGGCAGAAGAATCAGTAAACTTGAAGACAGATTAAATGCTATTATCCAGTCTGAGGAATAGAAAGAGAGCAATGAAATGAAGACAATCGCAAGAAAACTACGGAACATCATTGAGCACTCCAACATAAAATATAGTCCTAGACAGAGAGAAGGAAAGGTTATCCACAGTATCTCATACAAAGAAATAAATGAAGTAAGATGATTCATAACTATAATTTCAGCTACTAGGGAGACTGAGGTAGAAGAAACATAATGTCAAAGCCAGGCTTGGCAACATGGATAGCTCCCCTCCATCCCAAAAATGAAAAACAAATCACCCAAAATTTCCCAAGTTTAGTAAAAATCAATCTATTCATGTAAGCAGTTCAACAAACTACAAGCAAGATAATTTAAAGATATCCACACTTAAACACATCATCATCAAACAGTCAAAAACCCAAGACAAAGAGAGAATCTTAAAAGCAGTAAAGAAAAATGACTCATACATAAAAGGTCCTAAACAAGATTAATGTTTGGCTTCTCATTGGTAACTATATAGAGTTCAGGGCTGGGGATTTAGCTCAGTGGTGTAAGCGCCTGCCTGGCAAGCGCAAGGTCCTGAGTTTCATCCCCAGTACCACAAAAATTTAAAAAAAAAAAAAAAAACTGGCAACCTATATAGTCCAAAAAGTAGTGACATGACACAAAGTGTTGAAAAAAAAAAACAATCAAATTCTTTGTCTGGGGCTGAAGATTTACATGAGTGGTTCAAGCACTTACCCTGGTAAGTGTAAGGCCATGAGTTTGATCCCTGGTACCAAAAAAAAGAAAGAATAAAGAAATTGTAGATCTAACAAAACTGTCCTTCAAAAGTGAAGGATTTTTTTTCCTCTTTATTTAGAGGAAGAGAGGGGTTGAAGGGAAAGTAGGTGAATAGGGAAAAAAAAGAATCAAGTTATATCATGTACAAATTCCCTATGATGAATGTGATCATTATGCATACCTAACATGTACCAATAAACTTTATTAATTTTTTAAAAATTTTTTAATTAAATTTTACAAAAAGGTGAAGGAGAGGACCCTAGAGGTATGTATGCCCAGAGATAATCACGAGATGAGACCAAAGAGGGAATCCAATTGAAGGCAAAGAGAGAGGCTTTAGAAGAAATCACACTTGTTAACTCCTTAACCTTGGACTTCAGAAAATAAATTTCTGTTTAAAGGAAACAAAAGCAGAAATTAAACACAATCCCATATAAACAAAAGCTTGAGAAAATTTGCTGCTAGCAGACTGATCCATAAGAAATTCAAAAGACGGAGATTGTCTGGACCTAAGGCTCAGAGTACTAGGTCCCAAATAACCACCAGAAATGTACACTACTTGGTGAAGAAAAGCTACAATTAAATGGATGACAGGCAATGGAAAATGAACATAAGCAGTATATAGGGGGAGATGCAAGGGGTCTCCAAACATCTGCCCAGGCCTTTTCACATCAGGAAGAATGCAAATTAAACTTTCACTGAGATGTTTTGCCAATATCTCTGATCCACCCGATTGGCAAAGTACAGAAGCTTGACAAGAACTCAAGTAAAGATGGTACAGAAACTGGTTCTCAGATAAACAGGGAGAGACCACAGATTTATCTTTGACCTCACTAGTACTTCTAGGAATCTGCTCTGCAAATGTACTTCCACAAATATGAAACAATATATACACAAAGCTTTATAGTGATACTATTTAAATTACCAAAAGACTGAAAATAATGAAGATGTCCCTGGCTATTCTTCATTCTTCTAAACTCTCACCCTCCTTTTCTTCCCCATCATTGGACAGCAAATCCCAGATATCATTTCATGAGAATCTACATTTATTAAAAATCAATAATTGACAATTTGAGAAAATAGAATATTAATTTCATTATTATACTACTGAAAAAAGATCACAAGAGTAATAATTTATTTAAATCACTAAAGAAATTTCACAAGTGTGAACAAAGCTCTTGGCAGTCTTGCTTTTATTCTATTCTCCTGTTCTTACCTGTGTCTTCTCTCAGGATTCCATCCCAGTTTTGACCTACTTAGTGAGGTTATGTCTGATGATTCACTTTTTCTTGTGGAAGAATCATTATTATTCAAAATTTGTCCTAATAGTCTTGTATTTCCTACAACAGAAGAAATACAGTATCACTTTCCAATATTAACTCACTTTTCTTTTATATAACTTCTCAGCTATACTTGTATTGAGACCTAAATCATCATCTTTTGATAAATATCTACTCTATTCACTCTAAAATTGTTATGGCATACATGTGTTTACCGAATTTCATGTGTTGAAAACATGATCCCCAAAGTCATATGTTGATGATACTTGAGTGGCTGGACCTCCAAGAGGCAATTGGCCCCCAAGGATTAATGCACTCACAAATCACTTTCCCATTACTGCATGAAGAAATACCCAGCACACACAATCTAAAGGAGAAGAGGTTTACTGTGCTCATGGTTTCAGTCCATGGTCCCCTACTCCAAGATAGACACAAAATGGCTAAGGGGCCTAGCAGAGGAAAAGGTGCTATGCTGGGGCAGCAAGGAAGCAAAGAAAGTAAAGGTAAGAGCCAGGAACAAGTCACTTTCCAGCCCCCAGTAATCTGAGTCAGCCGGGCCCCAAGCTCCTAAGAGTCAGTCAGCTAGAGCCCTTCCCTGAAACAGTCACCTCCCTGTAGGGAGCCGAGTGACAGGCATTGTTGCCTAGATGTCTCTCTCTCTCTCCTATGGGCACTGCGTCTGCCTACATTAACCATAATCCTCTTCTGCTTACGTCACTTATCCAGATGTGATGGTAACCCTGTTGTATTCATCTGTTTAACCTCTTCCTGTCCCAGCTCCCGCCCTTAGCCTATAAAAGGTGTGATTATTTTCTCAATAAACCGGAGGCTTGATTGGGTTACATCAACTTGCCTTCGTCTCTTTTTGTCTCCCCCATATCTTTTATTTAATCCCCGTTTCCCCTCCAGGAGTTCTAAACTTGTTGATCTGCAGGCCAGATCAAGTGGCGCCCAACGTGGGGCTCCTGGCACGGAGAAGTTAACGAGGGAGCCGTTCGAGAGACAGCCGGCTTAAACCGAAAGTGAAAGCAAATTGAACCAGAGACCTCGGCCGAGGAATGAGTAAACTAAATCAAGGATTAAAGCTTAAAGCAACAGGACATTAAATCAAGTGCCGAGACCTGCGCAGACGACTACCCGACGTCCTGCCCGAGTCACGGTGAGTGAACAGCAACCCCATTTCCCTTCCCCGACATGGGTCAAGTATTGAGCGAACACGAAATGTTCGTCGGAGGCCTTATAAAGGCATGAAAGACAAGAGAGATAAGGGTTGGAAAAAAATTATTACAGTATTTTCAATTTATTCATAAGGTTTGCCCTTGGTTCCCCCTAGAGGGTTCTATAGATACCAAGAGGTGGAATACAGTAAGAGATGCTTTAAAAGATTATTATAGAGTTTTCGGTCCAAAAAAGGTTCCTGTGACCACCTTTACATATTAGAATTTAATTTCTGAGCTGCTTGCCCAGAGGCATGCAGACCCTCAGGTTGAGGAGACAGTTACACTAGGTGAGGCTGCCTTGCGCGACTCCATTAAATCTACCTCAAAACCGTCCTCAAAAAAATCTGAAGCCTCTGATTTCTCAGATGCAGAGAATGATGGCCTGTTAGAGGTCCTCATACATGGTGATCTGCCACCACTTCCACCTGTTGACATGATCAGCAGGTCCCAAGATGGCAGCCCGCTACTCCCTGTGCCTCCATGGCAAATTGGGGATTCATATAAGCCTTTAAAAACAACCTTAACTCTGAAAAGCTTGCAGCCGCACAGCAGCTGATACAAGACCAGTTAGATGCAGGCCACATTGTTCCTAATAATTCCCCTTAGAACACACCTATCTTTGTTATCCAGAAAAGGTCAGGGAAGTAGAGGCTGCTACAAGACCTTAGGGCAATAAATAAGACAATGGTCTTGATGGGGCCTCTACAGCCTGGCCTCCCCTCACCCAGTGCCATTCCTTTGGGATTTTTTTAAATTGTCATAGATCTTAAAGATTGCTTATTCTCTATTCCTTTACACTTCATGACTTCCAAAAACTATTGGGAGACATTAATTGGCTCATACCATTTTTAAAATTAACTAAACATGATTTACAGCCCCTTTATGCGCTGCTTCGGGGAGACATAGATCCAACTTCCCCCCGAGAGCTTACACCTGATGCCAGGAGAGCGCTCAGTAAAGTAGAAGAGGCTATTGCTCAACAAACCAACAAACCGTTTCCTTTATGGACTACAATGAGCCTTTACAGTTTCTCATTTTTAATACAAAGCTTTGCCCTACAGCAATGTTCTGACAACAAGCTCCCCTCATGTGGGTCCATTTACCAGTCTCTCCAAAAAAAACACTTTTGCCTTATTTCCAAGCTGTCTCAGACCTAATAATCCAGGGTAGAAAGCAGGGAAAATGTTACTTTGGCAAAAAACCAGATATTATCATTCAACCTTTTACAAAAGACCAAATAGATTGGCTACTTCAGAGTACTGAAGTGTGGCCTATTGCCTTAGCTTCCTATTCAGGGACTATTGACAATCATTACCCTCCAAATAAGCTAGTTGACTTTGCTAATCGTCACTCATTTATATTCCCTAAAGTCACAGCTTCACAACCCCTTCCAGGTGCCCTGGTTTTATTCACTGATGGCTCACCCTCCGGAAGGGCTGCTTATGTATCTCAAGACAATGTTTCTACCCTCCAGGCAGATACTTCCTCTGCACAATTAGCAGAGTTCGAAGCTATTCTTGCAGCTTTTGCTGCTTACTCTGACCAACCATTTAATTTGTATACTGACAGTGCTTATCTTGCCCAGTCTGTTCCATTATTAGAGACTGTTGCTACTATATGTCATGCTTCCCCAGCTGCAAATCTGTTCAAACAATTACAATGCTTCATACGGCTTCGCCGTCATAAGTTCTTTATTGGTCATCTGCGAGCTCATTCCAACCTCCCAGGGCCTCTTGCCCAAGGAAATCATTTGGCTGATGTTGCTGTACGAGCACAGGTTTTTATGGCTCAGGACTCCAAGGTGTCTGAGGCCCAACAAGCCCACCAGTTACACCACCTTAATGCTCACACCCTCCGCCTTCTCTACAAAATTACCCGTGAGCAAGCCAGACAAATTATAAAAAATTGCCCATCTTGTGCTATCCACTTACCTGTTCAACACCTAGGAGTCAACCCTAGAGGTTTAATTCCTAACACCTTATGGCAAATGGATGTTACCCATTTCAATGAGTTTGGCAATCTAAAATATGTACATGTCATTATTGACTCTTATAGTGGCTTCATTTTTGCCACTCTCCAGACTGGAGAAGCTGCTAAACACATTATAGCCCATATGCTGTCAGCCTTCTCAGTTCTGGGATGTCCTCAACAGCTCAAGACCGATAATGGCCCTGGCTATACCAGTACCTCCTTTGCTCAATTTTGTAAAAGCCTTAATATCCTCCACACTACAGGTATACCTTATAATCCTCAGGGACAAGGCATTGTTAAACGTGCGCATCGTTCTCTTAAACTCACCATAGATAAAATAAAAAGGGAGACATGGTACCCCACCCAGGGGTCCCCTAAAAATGTCCTTTCACATGCTCTTTTTATTTTAAATTTTCTGACCCTGGATGCTTCAGGCTGCTCTGCAGCATCTCGGTTTTGACATACTCAGACTCAAACACGGTTTGCATCTGTTTTATGGAGAGACCCACTAACCAATGTGTAGAATGGCCCTGATCCAGTCCTTATCTGGGGACGAGGTTCAGTGTGTGTTTACTCTCAACAAGATAGAAAAGCTAGATGGCTACCTAAACGCCTCATAAAACAAGTAGACAGTTCTTCAAAGACCCCATATAACGCCCAAAAATAATGTTATTTCCTGAGGCACAATCCCCTGTGTTCTCTTACAGGTGACACATCTCCCTAGAGCCTTATGCTGCTTAACCAGCCTTCTTGAGCCACACCACACCCATGGTGGATTTTGACCCCTGCCAAACAGACTACAACTGCTAACAGCCATACACAAAACCCCATGACTGCAAAAGAGGCTCTTCTTGGTCTAGAAAAACATACACCAGCCAAATAAACTACATCCAGTGTTATACAAGACATGCTCCAAGACACAAAAAAATAACTTCATACAGAGACACCAACAAATGGCTGTCAACCCCTTCTCCTTGATTTTGGGGGGGGGGGGAGTTTTTCCCTTACCTAGTCCCCCTTTTGGGTCCCCTAGCTGACCTATTGTTTCTCATTTCTGTGAGTCTTGTATTTTTCAGAGGATTATGATGTTCATTAATAACCGGATAGACACATTTATGGCAAAGCCCATTCAGGTACACCATCATCAGCTGGAGATGGCAGATCAACAAACCTACAGGGAAAGAATTCCCACGAGTGGCCCATATGATGATGCGGCCTAACTGCCCTGGGGCAATGGACAGGCAGTCAGAGACGGGCAACTAGGACATGCATGTTAAGCTCTCTCTGGCTTACTTTTTCTCCATGCAATGCCCTCCATCAAGTGATGAAGCAGGTAAGAAGATGCACTTCCAAAATCAGAAGCTAAATGAATGTTTTTCTTTTTAACTACCCAACCTATGATATTCCATTACAGCAACAGAAAAAAGATCAAGACAACAAAGTAAGCCATTCGCAGACTAGGGGTAGAGAGAACAAGGCCACACCAGGAAACAAGCCCAGTTCCCAGTCTGGGGACCAGCGTCATGCGCAGGCCATCTCTAGACTGGGAACAGACAGACCCCACCCTCTCCCTGTGAGTCAGGGACATTCATGGACCAGGGGTAGAGAGAACAAGACCACATTAGAAAACAAGCCCAGTCCCAGAACCAGCACCATGAGCAGGCCACCACCAGAATGGGAACAAACAGACCCCAGGCTCTTCCAGTGAATGGACTGTCAAACAAGCAGTATAAATTCCCCATCTCACCCCACCTCATAAGCAACCGGCTTATCCAGAGGAACACAGGGCGTGATGATAGCCATGGAGATGAAATGCAATTGGATGCCTCTGTTGCTTTGGTGTTTCACTAACACTGCAGGTGTAAGGTC